TCTTAGAGGGGTCCCCGAACGACAGGAGGGGCCCCCACTTTTAGGTCGCCTCCTAACTTTTCGACTACCAGTCCGCCCCTGCCACTAATTTTTTAGGTAATTCTCAATTGATTAAAGGGAATTTGAAAACATCTGAAGCCTCAAACGGCGTTTTGCCCTAGCGCAGCAGAGTATGGATGCTGTACGGCCATGCTAAAAAAAAAAAAAAAAAAAAAAAAAAAAAAAAAAAAAATCGCCGTATGAACATTGAATGCTGCCAGATCTTCTCCCATACGATATTCAATTTCGACTAAAGTTATGAATATTTTTCTTTGAAATTTTCAAATACTTTGGATTGAAAAGCGAATTACATTCTTCGAAAAATTGGAAGAAAAGCGTGAATAAGTTTTCCTGACAATTTGTACTTTATCGAGGGAAATTTGACAACGACCGAGGACTCATACTGCGTTCTTCTCTAGCACGGCAGTATACCTTTCGCCTGTCTCCGTAGGCGGTGCATAGATAAGTTTAGTCACGTCACTCCCTGAATTTCCCAGCGGCAAACCTGTCAAATGCACGACTGCATTTAAAATATCGAAACACCTCGTAACCAAAAATTATACTCGAAATTTCAGTCTTCAGTCTGAGTGCACTTGTTCGACGGAGTAGAGGTTGTCAAGTAACATTGAGGCCGACATTTTAAGACGTTACTTAAAACCGCATCGACGTAAAATCTCCTTGATAAGGTCGTGGATGAGGGGAGTTCACCTTACATGAAGAACAGTTCAAAGGGATTTCAAGTGAAGGAACCTTCAAAGAGCGCCTCAAAATGTCAGCATACGGATTTTATAAAATCGTAGGATGATAAGATTTATCGGATGCGAGGAATATTACGATTGAGATCAGATTAGGACTGGATAAGGTATCGATGGGGTCAAAGTAAGTTTGACTTCAAAGGTATGGTCTTCCACAGGCAACTAAATGAATGTAGCAGCTGGATAATGTATTCACTGGCCCTGGAGCAAAATGTAGAGAATGAACCAAACAGCAGTTTAAACTTTTAAAGGCAATAAGCGTTCGGAGGACGGGGGTTTTGCCCCCTCTTGCAAGCATGAAATTTGCTCTCTTACTTTCCGTACAATTCGAAATCTCCACAGCGTCCCAAAATTAGGAGGTTCAGTTGCTACAGTTTTACTCAGTTAAACTCTTTTTTTCCACTTACCTTTCAATAGTTTAAAGTGAAGTCAGAGACAATATATTTCTCATGCCGAGCAAGACACTCTCGATTCAATCGGAGTTTTGCTTGAATCAAAAGGAAATCCGCTTAAATTAAGAGGCTTGGTCCTCAATTTAAGCAAAATTCGATTCAATCGAGAGTATATTTTCATGGCAATGTTTTAAAGAGTCTGGACTTTAGATCCAAGCGACTTTTTTTCCCAGTGCGTGCAATTGGGTAAGGCAAATTAGATCGGAAGTCAAAGCTTTTTTCGGCCAGGATTGATGAGCAATTTGTCGATCAAAAAATAAAATACAATTCGCCTAGAATGATGCCTTATGAATGTCGGGGAAGAGATTTTGTTAGGCGAGTTTTGGCCAATTAGGCTATAGGATTACTAAACATATTACTCAATTATCAGGCGAATCTTGGCGTTGATAACTGACAGTAATTTTCCCACTAGACGAGCAAAGCTTTAAAAAAAACCCCACGTGAATGCTACTATTCATGCCGATTTTTTTTTTTTTTTTTTTTTTTTTTTTTTTTTTTTTTTAAATCCTTGCAGCGAGCGCCTAAACTGTCAAAACGCCTTCAATTCCGTGCTTATGCATCATGGACATCCGTAGAGCTCGAATAGTTGCATTCAGGCGTTATTATGAAATTAGTCGAGTGTTCATCACTTGCGATAACTGAGAGCTCTTTGTATGATTCTCTCACACTTAAACTTAATTTTAGCGTTGCCTATTGTACCAATGAAGTAAACTATTACCGATTTTCATAGCGAAATGTTCAATTTTCCCGCAATCGCATTGATCGTTTGAATGTATTACAACGTTACCGCGGGTCCTAGAAATTGCAAAAAATGGTGGTGTCCGAGCACGGCATGTAAAATTATTTTTAAACTTTTTTAATGAGTCGTCATTCTTTTGGGGTTTTCTCCTATTTTTCTTTTGGATTAATTTTCTTGACGTGCGAAATCGTAAACAACGGGCAACAACAACAACAAATTCATACCAATGGGAAGACAGCAGAGCGAGTTCTCGAATATAGTCTCTGGGTGAGTTAATACGGGTGTAGGTCAGATTATGGCACAATAGAACAGGCTCTGATTGAATAGAATATGGTGCGTGTCCGCCCATAGAATTCTCACAAACGTTCTTCAATTATTCATCAAGTAAGTATTATAGTGCGTGTTCGATACATCAAACAGGTGAGATTGTAACGATATCGATTCGTTCAATATGTAAACATAGCCTCGAAAGTCAATTGAGTAGTCTGAGGAAACGGGTTTTCTATGATAAATTTTTTATCCATATGAGTACAAAATGGTAATGAAAAGTGAAATTGTCAGGAACTTTCTCATTTTCAGTTTTTTCGACTGAAATCCTAAAATTTATGTTTGAAGTTATGTTCAATTGTTTCGAACCAAACGATACATCGAACCACTATCGAATACGATCCACATGTGTCTTATCGTCTGTTGGAATTGATTTTCTAATTCTGTAACGTGCAATTGAGCGAATTCGGGACCTAATAATCAACATATAGAGTCTTTGAGTCTCGATGTAGAGATGGTTGCGTCATGGCCACGGCGCGGCGCGCAGGCGAGGTCAGTCGAGGTTGTTTACACCGGGGTAAACCGCCAAAGGTCACGCGCTCCCGACCTCACACATCCGTTCCTATCCCACCAAATAAGGAGCATCCCTGGATTACATCCCACAAAGGAACCAAGTGAATAATGTTCCTCGGCCTTGAGTAACTCACGAGAAAATGAACATAAAGTGAGGCAAATATTACAGCTAGACTCGTGCCTTGACTTTGTAATACTAGCTTTTTGAAATGCGTTTCAACCAACGGTCTAGAAACTATAGATAGGGGCACTGCTCCCATTTCCCGGAAGTAGTTCCGAATTCCGGAACTTTTGTGATTTGCCTAAAATTTACCCGGAATTTTGGAAATTCCCAAAATCTTCCGGATCTTTCGCATTTTCCGGAACTTTCTCGGAACTTTTAAAAAATCTATAAGGAATCTCGGAACTTTTGACGGTCATGGAGTGGGAGAAATTGGAACAAAAAGGTTCCGAACCTCGGAACTTTTAACGGACATGAAATGGGAGCTTTGGATAGGGGGATTAAGCAATAAGGTCACGTAATTTGAAAAAAGCATGTAGTTTCCAAAAAGCAGTCAAATTTTCTATGGTTGGTTCATGAAATCTCGAAAAGCAATGTGAATAACAAATTCAAACCCGTGTTCTGTAGGTATGATTTCACTAAGCTTTCGTGAGCTAATCTTGATTTCAGTGTAGTAATATGAGATAACTGGCAATGAGAACAGGTGGTTCGTGAGCTTAGATTGGCCCCCTCTTTGGAGCATAGCTAATTCACACCGGCATTAGTGAGGGTCTGATGGGTTTTTGAACTTTCAGACATGGAGCAAATATTCGCGATCGGATCTCATAAACATTTTTTAATGAAATGTAGTTTTCACCACTTTGCAAACAAAACAGCTGACAACATTCGAAGATAGATAACTGTAATTTTTTCCGATCTTTTCTGATCTCAATATATGACTCCAACAAATCAGTTTTGAATTCCTCTCGGAAGGCCAATTCGAAAATTGGGTATATGATGCGACCTACTGCCAATGAGATGACTCGAAATTACCTTTGAAGGGACTTTTCACTAAGAAAGAGAGCAGTAGGATGAATTTGAATTATTAAAAGTTTGATCCTGAGGTATAACGATGCTAAGGAAGTCAACTGTATGCACGGATCAGTCAATGCAAAATCTGTGCACCGGACGGATATTTTTACAAACTACAACCCTCGACACTCCTACCCCTCCCCCCCCACCACACACACAAACACAATCCCAACCTCTACAATGCTCGTGCATACGATCATCTTTGGCATGTAGCATGAAAACAGCTGTATGGATACATCCACACTTTTCGTCCAGAGGAGTCATAGGTGGATCCCGACCCCTCGAAAGGGCGGCGTAAGGGGTTCCGGGGGCAATCCCCAGAAAATTTTTGAAGCATCTAATATGCAGCACGGGTCAATTTTGTCCTACATAATGGGCCTGTTGCAAACTTTTGCTAGAGCAAAAATAAGAGTTGTTTCTTCTTTTATCCTTCTCGTTTTCTTCCTCTTTTTTCGGGCGAACGGGGGCATCGCACGCCCCCTTACGCCCCCCCCCTTGGCTCCCCCCGTGAGAGGAGTAAGGGTTGTTTACCAATAGTGTGCAACACCCAGATCACTCCACATACGGTAAAACGAGTGTATAATTCTCTTTTAAACTTGCTGGCGATTTACTCTGCGACTCCAAATCGCAATCGGAATCGATCCTCCCACAAATCATCGGGCAGATTACACCGTCTGATCTCCCCCTCCACTCCCTCCCGCCAACCTCTTACTGGACCTGGTGGTTAAACTATGTTAATTTTTTAAATAATCCCAAAATCGAACATTCAACTGATACTACAATCTTTCCCAATACAGCAGTGCCCTGCTTAACCCACCATGTTAGTGAGTGAAACAAGTATATCATGTTGACGCTAACATGGTATCAACATGGTAACAAGTAGGTTAAATTGATAAACAGTAGCCAACATGGTGCTACGTACCATCATGGAGTAACGTTACGACCAAGTTGGTAGTATGTTAGTAACATCATGATTTAACATGGTACCAACATGATCGTTTTTTAGTGGGTATGATCCATAATTTCCGATTGCAGAAAATTACTGATAGATGGGTTGTCTGAATTAGTTACATGCAAAGACAAGAAAGTAAGAATTCACTCACTTTTTAGACTGGGACTGACTGAAGGGCGCTGGATCGCTATGGAAGGGTCACCGACCCCGCTAGTATTTCGACAGAGCACTGGCAGGGGGCAACTTAACAGCTGCGCCCCATTTTTGGCGCCAAAACGAGCGCCTCTCTCACTGCACTTAACCGAAACGTTCACGCGAAAATGTCCGGAATTTGCGCGTAGTGGAGGATGAAGAATGCCGTGTTTATCACATGTGGTCTTCGCGCGCGAAATGACATTAGGCGAGGCGGAAAAGTCACGATTGTTCTTCGCCTACAACTTTACAACTTATTCACGTCTCAAGGAATATTTTTCTCGCTAAATCCCTCAGTTGTTCCACTGCAGGAAGAACACTTGAAAGCTCGGCTTCGCACAATCGACCTTTTGACTTTTAGAGAATCTTGAGTATTCTGCTGTAACCTGGAAAAGAAATAAAATGTATTAGGTTAACAATCTTAGATTATTACTATCTATATAAACAGAAGAAAACAGAGACTGTTAACTATGATTTGGAGAAAAAATCCCAGAGAGCCATTGGAAATAGAAGAGAGGGGTTTAACACTTGAGCGAGAGTATCACTCATAACGAAATTGAATTTGCTCTAAATCTAAATATTTTTGGACTTTATAAGATTCATTCCGATCAGTATATTTCAATACATACATTGAAGCATTAAATAGGTGGACTTCGTTTCAATGTAATATCTATCTGAATTGTTCCACTACACAAGTATCAATGTGATACTTTAAGAGGGTGGTCACACATGTTGGACCCTAGGGGAGTCAATGTCAGAGGCAGTAACCAGAATATGACTATGAATGGGTCAGTGGGGGAGAGTTATAATATTGCATCATTTTTATTTACTTTACCTGGAAAATTGTCCAGTCTAGCATGCACTCTTACATCATCCTAAGGTATGCACAATGATCAGATGGTGGAAAAAAGTTCAGATGATGCATCAAGGAAAATCATAGTGATAGTGGAAATCCTTCATTAAAAACAATGTAAAATAATAGAGATAGGTTGGGTTTTCAATCGTGAAGACAATTAAAGGATGTCAGCAATGGTTTTATTCAAAACGGAAATAAATTCTGGTCAAATTCAACTCCGAAGGGGCAAGCTATCTTCATGAATACACTTTGTTTATGAAAATTCGTGCACTTGCCGGGATATTTGGAAAAGTGAGATTTGAGCGGGAAACACTACGCGAGTGGAGGATTGCGGTTATGATTGCACTGCCGCTGGGCTGGGCTGGGCTGGAGGGTCGGGTGGGGCGTGGCGAAATTCGGGCCCCCGCGCACAGGTAGCAGCACCGGCTATTGATCCGCGCCCCGCTCCTTCCGCTTTTACTCGTACCCCTCGCCCCCCCCCCGCCCCCCGCGTCATCATCGCCCTCTCTTAACATCTATGCGAGAATGCACTGACAATCTCCAGATTGATGCTTCCTCAAATAATGAAATATATCTACATAAATAACAGTAAACGAATAAAAAACTAAATAAATACAATTCATAGTAGTAGTAGTAGCAGCAGCAGCAGTAGTAGTAGTAGTAGTAGTAGTAGTAGTAGTAGTAGTAGTAGTAGTAGTAGTAGTAGTAGTAGTAGTAGTAGTAGTGGCGGTGGTAGTAGTAAATGTAGTGTAGTAGTTGTAGTAGTAGTGATGGTTATTATAGAAGTAGTAGTGGTAGTAGTAGTAGTAGTAGTAGTAGTAGTAGTAGTAGTAGTAGTAGTAGTAATACTAATAGTTGCACTGGTAGTAGTAGTGATAATAGTAGAAGTTGTAGTAGTAGAAGTAGCAATAGTAATAATTAGTAGAGTAAGTAAATCAAATTCAATAGTTTCGAAGCTTCATGAGGCTCTGAAGCACCAGAGGGTAGAGTTTATTTTCAATTTTGGAATGACTAGGAACAAAATGTACAACGATTTTAGGAACCTTCTATCCTTTGATTATGCTTCCAAATCAACAACTTGAAACGTATACGAAACAAATCAAATTGCTGATTTAACAATTCAATTGCTAAAAAAAAGTGACCGCAATGTTTCAATGTTGATTTTACAACAAAAAAATGCTGCTTTAACCACCCCCGTGGTTAAATTAGCTCACAATGGTGGTTAGGGTTCCAAAATACCATACACTTACAGCCGGCTGTAAGATTTCCGATAGCTTCTATAGCCGGCAACACAATTTCTTATAGCCTTTTATAGCCGATAGCGATTAAGCAACAGCCTGGCGATAAAGTGTATGCTAAACGTTACTAATTACGGATGCTAGGACTTAGTGAGTTTATGGACTACCGCTCTCTTTTTGGGCCGTAGTATCTTGATTTATTTTGCGAGGAAAGCTCCATTCTTTTGAAGGATGCCTGCCATTCCTAATAAGTTGGTGCGCCTTCAATTTCGTACAATACTGTGCAATACCTCTGGTGTGAAATAGTTGCTTCAAGCGCCGTGGTACACTGCGGCGCGGCATGCGCTACAAACCTAACAGGGATACTTCACGCATTGCGCAATGCGTGAAGTATCCCTGTTAGGTTTGTAGCGCATGCCGCGCCGCATTGCGCAAATGCGTGAAGTATCCCTGTTAGGTTTGTAGGCGCACAGAAAAAAATAGATGGTGCTGACGATAGAGCCTTTTTTTCACAGGGCTCCTGCACTTCTTTTGTAACAGTCACAGAAGCTTCCGTTATGAGGACAGAGTACTCTATTCCCACGACCGAAGTTCTGTTCTCACAACAGAAAAATTCTGTAGGTGTAACAAAGAAACTGCGGGAGCCCTATGAGCAGAAGGTTCTGTCGTCAGCACCATCTCTTTTTTTCTGTGCGCCAGTGCGTCGTCACTCCGCTTTGTGTTAGGCTCTAATATTGAATCTCGTGGAGTCAGTGTTTTTTAACTCATGACTTTGAAATGTTTGCACACTCTGTATGGATTATTCTCATTTTAATTGATAGAAAAAAAATATGTAGTAAAGGAAAATATAATGTGTGTTTTGTACATATTAAGGTGGTTCCGTATCAAACTTAATGATTTCAAAAACACACGAATTTCTACACAATTTCTTATAGCCTTTTATAGCCGATGGCGGAAAAGCAACAGCCAGGCGATAAAGTGTAAAGCCCGGCGATAGGAACTATAGCCCGGCTGTATAATTTTTTATCGCTTCGTGTAGCCCGGCCGTATAAGTTTTTCAAAAACACACGAATTTCTACACAATTTCTTATAGCCTTTTATAGCCGATGGCGGAAAAGCAACAGCCAGGCGATAAAGTGTAAAGCCCGGCGATAGGAACTATAGCCCGGCTGTATAATTTTTTATCGCTTCGTGTAGCCCGGCCGTATAAGTTTTTCCACTTTCTACAGCCAGCTATATGATTTTCTATCGCCTTCTTCAGTCGGCTATAAGAACTCCTATGGTATTTTGAAACGCAGCTCCTATCGCCAATTTTTACCAGGGACTTTACCAGTCATGCTCAGCACTTACCAAAACTTAAGGTGATTCGTCAAGCTCAAGTGACGTGGTCGAACTGGCATGCGATATAACGCATCGATTAGGTCAAAAATCTCGGCAGATTTTGAATTTTTAGCAAAAAAACGGCGATAGCCCCTGCGCATGAGTCTGAAGAATCATTCTAAACCCAAGAATCGGGAAAATTCAGAGAAATGAAAGCAGAATAGCGTTTGGAAAAAAACCTCGCTTTCGATACAGAAATCGGTAGCTGAATCGAATACGAGGTTTTTTTCCAAACACTATTCTGCATTCATTTCTCTGAGTTTTGCCGATTCTTGGGTATAGAATAATTCTTTAGGCTCATGCGCAGGGGCTGTCGTCCTCTGTTTTGCTAAAAATTCAAAATCTGCCGAGATTTTTTACCTGAAAGATGCGATATATCGCATGCCAGTTCGACCACTAATTTTGCGATTGACGAATCACCTTAAAGGAAAAAGATAATCATATCCTACGCCTGTATGCATGCAACAATTCATGCCGTTCTGTCTTTTCGAATTCTTGCAGTAAGTACTGCCCGCCGCGTGGCGGATGAAGCGACAAGTAGCTGGAGAGCCAAAACGCCTTCAATTCGGTGCTTATGCATCACGCACATCCGTGAAGCCCGAATAGTTGCATCCTGTCGTTATACTGAGATTCGTTGAGTGTTTGTCGCATTAAATACTAACCGAGGGCACTTCGCATGTTTCTCTCATACTTTAACTTAATTTTAGCGTTGCCTATTGTATTTACCGATGACTTAAACTAATACTAATTTTTACAATGACATTGTTGAAAGTATTTTCCGAAGTCTGCTTCACTGGAAAAAAAGTCGCTTGGATCTAGAGTCCAGAATCTTAAAAACATTGACAAGAAAAAATACTCTTGAATTAATTGGATGTTTTATTAAATCGAAAATCAATCCTTTCAATTTAAGCGGATTTCCTTTTGATTCAAGCAAAAATCCGAATGAATCGAGAGAATTTTTTCTTGTCATTCTTGTCAAGAGTCTGGACTCTAGATCCAAGCGACTTTTTTTTCCAGTGCCTGTTCGTTTATATGCATTACACTTTTTCCGTCCTGAAATGTGAGCTGCTGTCCCTACGCCTATAAACCAAAGACTTTGTCCACAAGAGCGCGGTTCGAGGAACTTCGGGCGAACTTGTTCAGAACCTTGTTATAACTTAGCTATTACTTTTTCCTTGAACCCCCAAGTCGTGGAACTAATTTGTCCAAACTGTGCTCGTGTGGACAAGGCCTGAGGACGAGAAGTGCGGCGGAGCCATGGTCATGGACACTCCAGGAAACATTTTTCGAGGCACAACTTTACATCGTTTTCCTTTTCTTCTTTCCTTCAAGGAAGAGTTATAAAAAAGTCTACCCAGAAATGTGCAACAACCTACGGTCAGTTCTAAACCCGGTGAGGTAGGAGCCAAAGTTTGTAGAAAAAACGCTTCAAAATGAGCTTTCCATTTGGTATCGCAGGGAGATGTGCCCTCTTTAGATGACCCGTAGTCCTCCGATTTTGAGTCTAGTCCAAAAATCTCTTAGCTAGGAACTTGCAATGACCCCGGTGGTGCTTGGTGCCAATTTTCAAAGAAATAAGGGGAGTATTTTCAAAATTTAAAGTCATTTCAAACCAGCCCACACACACGGCGTGAATTTGCTGAAATCTTGTTTTGCCCCTAGCCCCTCATTCCTAAATGTTGGCGTATCCTAGAATCGTGCATAAGGGGAACATAGATATGGTCCATCGTGTCAGTTTTGAACAAACAGATTTTGAGATATTGCTGTACACAGAAATAGAGTCCGCCGGACAGATGGACATAATTTTTTTCAAGTATGGTTTTATTGTCACCCGCAAGGTAGCGAGAAAGTAAAAATGTCCTACGTTGTTGATTGCTTCATGCAATGTCATCGCACTGAAGCACCAGAAGATCCGGTTCGTAGAAAACGAATCAATAACAAAGTATTTAAAAGAACCTGCCAAAAGTTTTTCCGCACTTGACCTCAGGAAAGAAAACAAGAGACGTATGTCACACTAAAACAGGCGGTAAGGACGAGGTTCGGAGACAGGGCCGGATTTAGGGGATGGCTACATCGGCCGCGGCCCATGGCGGCAAATTTTGCAATTTTTATAAACGTAGGTATAAAAAAAAATCGGATTTAGAAAAAAAAAATCCAAAGGAGAAAAGGCGACAAAATCTCTTACTTCCTGAGAGTATAGCAATTTCTAATTTTGTCGTCTTTCGGTGATACAGGAGACAGCACCTTTAATTTGTCGAGTTAAGAGAGAAACCAAACACTCAATTTGGCCTGGAACGGCGCGGCGCAGAGAGCAATGATGACGAGGACTTGAGATGAAAAGGAGAAGCCCTCGGCGCGGCGATCGGCATGTAACACATATTAGCGCCTACAAGACTCCATGAATACTTCACGCATTGCGTGAAACAGTGCGTTCAGTAGCAGTCGCGGTCGGCGTGAAATGCTCAGCGCCTACAAGACTGCAGAAATACTTCACGCATTGCGCCAAACGCAGTGCGGTCAGCGCAGCGCTGCGGGCCCCATTTATGTTTGTTCTTTCATAATTTTTTCGTTCATTTCTTATAAATGGAAGACCTTGTCCACACAGAGGTAGGTTTAGGGAACTTAACTTTCGTGCAAAGTTCCGTAAGCTTTATCTAGTAGTGTTAACAGGACTTTCGCAAAAAATGTGTCCAACACGAGTAACCGCGTCTTGTGCAGGGGTGCATTCCCTTCACTTGATGGTTTTTATTGATGTTTCAAAACGAATGAGAAGGGAGCGGCAAAATACAGGCAGTCCATGGGCGGCAAGTAGGTAAATCCGGCCCTGGATATTGCTGTACACAGAAGTAGGGTCCGCCGGACAGACGGACATAATTTTTTTCAAGTATGGTTTTACTGACACCCGCAAGGTAGCGAGACATTAAAAATATCTTACGTTGTTGATTGCTTCATGCAGTGTCATCGCACTGAAGCACCAGAGGATCCGGCTCGTGGAAAACGAATCAATCACACAGTATTTAAAAGAACCTGCCAAAAGTTTTTTCGCACTAGACCTCGAGAGAAAACAAGAGACGTATGTCACACTAAAAAAGGCGCTAAGGACAAGGTTCGGAGATACCAGTTTTTAGAACTAAGCGGGCGATACGTGACAAGATTTTTCGTCGTTTTGAATTAGCTTCCGGACTTTTTTCGGCAAAAATCTTTCTATGACAGATAAAGAGTATCCCCCGATGCACATTTATTCAGCTAACTCAAAATCGACAAAAATGAAGTTACGTGTCTTTGATCTGTCACCCGCGACATTTGTTTGAAAGCTCTTACAGAGTTTTTCTGGAGGGCACATTTTTTGTTGCCTCTCAAGCTAAATTTAAGATTTTGGACTTGCGTCCTTTTTTCAAAAAATGAAGGAAAACTGACACGTTTTCAGATAAAAACGTAGGTTTGAGGTGAGGTTTGATAATATTATCACTAAGAAGGTACTTTCCGTCATCTGAGCAGAGCGTAGAGGTGTCAACTTTAGATAAAAAAATTTAAAGACTTTGCTCTTTCTTGCCAAAATAAAATTTTAAAAAATCCTAAAAAATGTGCTACCTAGTGCTCTTCATGAAGGCCGAATGTGCAAATTAAAGACAAGAGGACAAGACAATTTTACCTAAAATTCTTACTCCCAAACAATAATAAAATAAAAATGAAAAAAAAATAAATAAAATAAAAACTGAAAGCATGATGGTAATTATGCTTGCTCGTAATAAAGCAAATGTTTGGAGGAAAAATGCAAAATCTTGACTGGAGTTAGGTATAGATAAGCCGTGTTTGCCCTGGAGAAATGTATAACCGATGACCCGAAAAGTTCCCCAGCTTATTTGGACTTCATTTTGCGATTTGGAACTATGGATTCTGGCTCTTCTGGAAAAACACTTATGTGTATAGGGAAACTAACAGCACATACGTTGTTTTTAAACCGGGCTAGAATTTATAGTTCCAAATTGGAAAATGTAGTCCATTTGTGGAGTCTCTTCCCGAGAGTCTTCTCACCTCTTCTCGAGAAAATTTATCAAATATTTTTGTTGTTGAGGTCTCATTACGTAACATTATTATTCTAACAATCTATTTGCTAGAGTCTCGAAAAATACAATAGCTGTCTAGCCTAAATGATTTGATAACCTATCATCATTATTCCAGGCTTATGGAACCTTTTCGACTTTTTTCTCGAGCGTTCCCGCGGTAAAATTGAAAAAATATGATTGACGCTAGGTCAGTGCAACCGGCCAATCACGACCAAGAATATTCTAGAAATTCGAGAAGCAATCAGTGATGCAATCAGAAAAGGTAAACAAGACACTCATGGCCGTTACGTCTGTCTGGTTGTGATAACAATTTACAGTGCCTCTCATTTCTCGAACAGTGATTAATTATCGAATGATTCTGCATTATCTTTCATAACTAAATGTTAAATGTTGCAATTTTGAGTCACAGTTTTCAGCAACAAGCAGAAAATACGCTTTAATAAAATCATTTCATTTTATGCCCCTCTGGATGATGCTGTTGGCAGACATGTGACTTTCTATGTTGATTTTGGTGTTTTGGCAATCACGCATGGTTCAGAATTAGCGACTTTTGTAATTTGTATATGTGCTGTTCCTTATCCTATTTACCTCTAAAAGTTTCGTTATTTCATATCTATGTTTGCTGTTTAGTGACCTTACAAACTGTGATTGACTCTTACGATTTATACTTTAGAGCTTTCACCGCATTTATTAGTTTACTTCTTCCCTCACGAATTTAGGTTAGTATACTTAGTCAAACTCTATCCACTGGCAAATCCCTTTTCCCAATTTGGTGGCAAGTGAATGGAAAGCTTTTCTTCATTTTCTTTCACTATTTGAAATCTTAAGACCTGGCTTTCCATCCCGCTTCCTTTTTATCAAATCTCATTGGACCATTTCATCTGCACTGGTCGCAATATTTTGTAGCTCGGAGCTCCGTGCTCTTATTACGTAAAGTCTTATCAAAACAGCTGTAAGTAACTAAAGTTTGGAATTCCAAGTGTCTGTTGATTTCACGAAGCTTTGAATTTTCTTGTTGAGACTGACTGTCATCTTTCGATCTGATTGGATCAGTAATCGCAGAATTCCCACTAGACTAATTGTATTACGATTCATAAACCTACCGTCTAAGTATCAAGTCATCAGCACCGAAAACTTGTTTAAGGATCTTTTGTAACTAGACCTCATAAATACGGTTTAAAAGAAGCAGCATCAACGTCCCATACTGTTTATTCTGGGACATATACACATCTCAAGTATTGGTGCTAAGTCATTACGGGAGTAGAGTCTGTGCCAAATAAGTTTATAAAGTCAGAGAGCGCATCAGCTGAACTAGTCTTTATTTCAGCATTGAAAATTTAAACTAAAATTTAGATGGTAAAATTTCCGTTTTACCGTAATGTAAATCTTTGCCTGTGCTTATGAAATCAAGATATCCAAGCTCAGCAATTTTTTAAGAATTAATTTTTGATGTGAAGCTCTAACTACTCACTATTTTGTTACTTGTTGACTTACTTTTTTGTTATGATCTGATCCTCTGTTCGTATCTATCCTGTGATTACACCATGGCCATTTACAGTGTTCGTTAACTCATCTTCAGGTGTAAAATTTAGCAATTACTATATGCGCGTCAAACGACAAAACTGTACAGGTTGCATTGTTAGAAAGAACTTCAAGAGTGATACTTACTTTTTTTCTCCTATTTTTAGGCCCTTTATCAAGCAATGAACTTGGGTATGAGCGGCTTCGTCCGGCAGCCCTTAGCAGAGTCACCTCAAGCGAGCATTTTTGCCAATCCATTAGCCACAGGAATGGATCGGTTTCCGTATCCTAATTCAATGCCAAACATGAGCGCACCATCAATGCCATGGGCCCAGATACCACCTATCAATGTTCCTTGGGGAATCCCCCCCAACAATCTTCCAGATGTCATCAGGTAAGCACTTTGCGTCACCATCGCGTTCATCAGTATTTAATGCACAGCTCATTTTCATCAATTTATGATAGTCGTGTGTAGCCTGCTACCATCTCAAACCAAGAAAAAAATTAGAAGAATCTGCAAGTCTTGTACAAGGCAGCTCTTAACCATATCATGTATTCAAGATAAAATTAGAAATGAAGCAAAATTGTTAGAAAAGCAATGTTTTTCAACAATAATGGACAAACAAGTGAAAGAAGAAGCCTTTTTTTTGCTTCTGCCTCGTTTTTTCCCCAAATAGATATGAATATTTCCAATCAATGAATTTGTAAAATTCCAACTGCTTTACACAACTTTTTTTCTCTTTTTAATCCAATGAAATTCTAAAATACTGTCACTTCATCCTCTAGCATCTCTATTGATATTAATTTTGATTTACAGATTTAATGCAACCCCAAACATAAACACTTTTCAACCGATTCCGAGACCGATCGAAAATGGTGGATTTCCAAGAGTACGATTCACCAAACGAAAGACAAACATAGAGCCAGAAATGTAAGTTTACTTTTGGTCTTAGTTCATTAGCTTTTTTGCACTGTCCATTTAAACAGTTGACTTTAATGTGTGACCTGAAGGAACCACTAATTATGCTGTTTAACTGGAAGATTTAGATTAACAAATATTTTGATGGTTTATTATAGAGCATGTTCCATTGTAAAAAAAGCAGCACTATAACCTTTAACTTGTGTGAACCAACAGAAAGCTTTGAAATATCTCAAACTAAAACTGAAAGTTCAGTGCGATTTTTGAGTATCAGACATCTGTAAGTGCATGGAATCATTGGGAAGAAGGCTCCTCATTGTCCAACATTGATTTACAGAAAGCTAATTTTTCATTTTAATCTGTTTCTATTTCATCATTTTTCACATTCTTAGATAAAATTCCAAGCAAATTGTTGTGTGCAGCCCCTTTGCCTCTTTCTCTCTGTCTAAGATATCCTTATTGTTCCTTACTTTTTGCAGACCAGCAAAAATTCATGTCACAGATGAAAAAATGGCAGCTCATATGAGTGAGATGCATATTAGCAGTAATTACACATCACATGAAACACCAGTCCAGGTATGTATTGCACTATATTTGTAGGCAATTGTGGGTTCAAAAGTAAGCCTTTAAAAAAAATGATAAAAAAGTCTTTTAAGCCTCACCAAATCTCAAATAAAAAGAACTTTTGCAATGAATATTGTACCACCCAAATATTAATTTGTTGCATTTCTATCGTAGTTCTTTTCTAAAAGCTTGTTGGAAAAATCCTGCCTTTACCCTCGAATGCCTTTCAATTTTCATTTGTTGGTCAGTCATACTTAAGTTCTTCTTTTCCGAATTTTGAGACCCTTAAAATAATGCGGACTGACGTCTGCACCTCCTCAACCCAACTATTCTGAACAAACAATGGTATCAAGTTCTGATCTGTGGCAAAAGTTTTTCAGCCTATTTAAACATACAGTGATACCACTTCTTTTTGTCGTTCTTTTGAGATCTGTCTGATTTATCTTCCATGCATTTCTATATATAACACGTTTTGATAAACCTTGGGTTTTCAAAATCTTGGTATTTTCTTGAGTTTAAGGGTACTACAACATTTTCAAATATTTCCACGCAAAGTAGTACCTGAAAGATCTACCTTTCCAGATTTAGGGCGGTTTAACTTACCTGGCAGAGCTACTCTGTCACTCTTTGTCAGAGACTCAAATTTTGACATGCTTTCTAAATTTTGAATGCCCAGCTTTCAACAGCTCAACATGGCCTTTGTCAATCGTCATTTGTTTCTCATTTAAAACAACCTAACGGTCAAATTACACGGTTACTCATTATCTGTAAAAAAACTAATATTATGTTTTTAAGACCTTTAATTTACCTTCTTTGAAAAGTCAGTTCCAGTCATGAACTTTATCTTGTCATTGGAATCAAATGTGGAATTTGAATTTGCAGATCGTAGTGTTTGTCTTACAATGAAGGACTTATTTTTTGTTACAGCCAAATTTTAGTTGTAGTAATTTTGAAACAAAACAATTCGGTGATAAACTCACCAGTCTAATTAGTGCAGATGACAAAGAAGACATAAAAATACCATCAATAAAGCTGTGTGAAGAATTGAGAAAGCTCAGCAAAACACCAATCCTGCCTGAGCCACTCCTTCAAGTGTGAGTAGTGAACTTTTTTTTAGCACTAAAATAATAATATAGTAATATTATATTATAATATTTCCCTCTGAGAATATTAAGCATACAGTCATCCAAATCTTTGGGCATATGATGGGAAAGATTTGAGGTGAATCTTCTGCTCTTCAGAGAGTGATTCGCTGGTAGATCTATTGAACGACAATTCTGAAATTTTAGGACATTTTTTTGAAAACCTCAAAGCATTACATCATGCTGCAGTCCATCAGGTGTCTGTACACACAATTTGATTGTGAAACATTTTAAAATAACTCCGAAAGTTTGCACTAAAAGAAACCTGCTAATCATGCTTTTGTAGGACATACTTATGAAGCTATTTCAAAATTTCATATGGTTAAATTTTCTGTATAAATATCTATGGACTACAGCGTGATGCCGTGTACAGAGATTTTTATAAAAATGTCCTACAGTTAGACCTTAGCAATCGTTGATCAACTATAGAATCATTTACCAAAGTGCTAAAGATCCATCTTAAATTTATATTCTCTCTGTCGTCCCTTTATCAGACTGAGTAATGGGCCTGTTGCCAACTTTTGCCAGAGCCAAAAGAAGAGTTGCTACTCATAGCAAATGTTTTAAAAATTACGATGAGCGCATTGGCAAAGTCTAAAATGCATTCCTTATTTCACACTTCGCATAAGAAATTTGCATTTTTTCGAGCTTCCCGCTTCAAAAATGATACCTCGGCATAGGTGAACATTTTGTTAGAGGAGTCATTCCATCCAACCCCTCCTCACAAAGATACCACACAATATTCAACATAGCCGACGCCAATCCGCCAAAACACGGACGATGATTCAAACCACCTGATAACAATCGGCGTGTTTACACATCTCATATTTCTCTCGTTGTAGGATATCCGCCTTGATTGAACTCTTGCTCTCCCCAACTTGCACGCAGAAGCGTCAGCCATGTTGAGCAGGGAGTGAATGGAACGACTCTTCTAACGAAATGCTCGCCTGTGCCTTAGTATCCTTTTTAAAGCAGGAAGCTTAAAAAGACGCAAATTTCCTACGCTGATTATGAAGTTAGGAGTGCATTTCAGACTTTGCTGATGCGCTCATCGTGATTTTTGAGATATTAACTATAGGGAACAATTTTTATTTTTGCTCTAGCAAAAGTTTGCAACAGACCCATTGGCTAACTGTTGGTCACCCAGAACGTACCTTCAGTTTGTCAATCATAGGGCCTGATACAGGTTCATCAAAATAGATGTGTGATCTCAAATTAATGAAACCGACCAATCATCTAACTCCATTTCACTTTAGTCTTGTCCAGTCAATATTCAACGGTCCTTCTGTGCTCTAATCTCAGCAGATGCCATGCACCCAAATATTATAAATTCTGCTATCTAAAGAAAACGCTAAAAAACTGGTGCAGTCATTAATGTTTGAGTTGTAGATGCCCGATAATTTTCCTGCTGCATCGTCAAACATCTTGATGGTAATATGGTCTTGTGATGAATATGGCGATTTGATCTCACAATAATGCAAAACTATAATCCCAAATTGTCTTGCAATGATTTGATCAACCCTCATTGATGAATTTTGTTAATATTAGACTGGCAGAGAAAATTAAAATTTTAGGAACTCCCTTTCAGATTATAGATTCTTTGAATCAAGTTGGTTCTCCTGAGCCAATTTAGATTGATTCCGTAGAATTTTTCTTCTACTAGACCGATTCCATCACCATCTTGAATTCGTAACCTCACTAACTGCTGAAGCCAGGCAAGTTAGAAAATGTAGAATAAATGGGCAAATTTAATCGTAATTAGTCTAATTACAATAGACGCTGCCTGATCGCTTCATATGCTCTTTTTTTTATCAGGAAACAAAGCATTTATTCTGACTTGAAATTTTTAAGAAGGTATAGTGTAATCTCCCCAAGTGGAACTATGGTTGAGACAAAATCCTGCTTAAGTCGAAAATTCTGTGGGTCCCCAGACACCGCCATAAGATGCTATGTAAAGAAAACTATGATTGAGAAAAATTGGTGACTTGTGTCACCTGTCAAGAAGAAGCTGCATAAGTAAAGGATAGATTTTCGAAAAATTCGATTTTAAACTTGAAAAATCTAGAAGAAAAAGCATTTTACAAAAAGAGAAACGTTTCAAAGAAAATATTCACAAACGCATTTCTATATTATTGAAGGAAGTGTATAAGCGATAGCTTCTAAATCTGTGACTTTTAATATCCTTCAGTGATTTTTATTTCGTTTTTTCGTTTTTTGTCAACAGAGAAAAGCCATGTCGAGCGCTTGTTTTGTGGAAACCTCCGCCTGGAGTAGTTGAATCAAACATAGCAACAATAGCTAGCTCGTATACTACCAATAATAATTGTAGTGTTGTAACATATCAGACATCCCCCACTTCAACTGTGACCATCACAGAATTAACTGATGAAGACAAACCAGCCGAGTCTATAGAGTGTGATCCTATTCCGTCAACATCGACAGGGTGAGTACTATTTAGTAATACAAATAGTAGTCTTCTATTCAAATCTGAATTGAAGCCCTTGGTGAATGAACAAAGTAATTGGCAGTTGAGAAAAAGTAAATTAGGGATTCATAATATTTATCTCTAAATAAACCATGCCAAAAATTTGACTTTTAAGACTCAATACTTGGCATCAACATTAAACTTTTAATGATCCTTTGGACTCAATGGAATTCTTAATCTTTAAACCTTTTTCAGAATCACTAAAATATTGTTTACCTTCCTCATTCATCGGAGGCTTCCAATATTGAAACTCTATTTTACACACCTTTTCGTTTTGTTTTTAAAGATATGTCAGTGAGCCTTTGCAATAAATCCTGTGTTTGAGTCAGTTTTTTACAACTATTATCATGTTTTGAGAGTTTAATTCTCTAGTTGGGAAGAAATCAACATCATCCATGCAGGAATTTTATATATTTCTTTTCAAGAAAAATTCAAATTCGTAAGTCATTAATTGAATCGACGTATGCGAAAGCGTCTGATGTCCAAGACTGTGTTTCAGAATTTAAGTGGACAATTTCATTGTAACTTAAGGACACAAGGTGGTTTCAGACGTTGGGAATGTAGAGCAATTTTATAAATAATCCCTTAAGTGTAATTAAACATTTACACAAGAGATCAATCCAATTCATTAGTGTCTTTGGACACAAGAAACCCACCACAATTATGAAACCCTGTATTGGACAACAGACGTTTTTGCATTTGTCGATTCAATTGGGAATACAGTACTCTTTTTCTGTAGTGGACTTTAAGGGACGAGAAGATGTTTCTAGCGCAGAGAGATCCAGTAGACGGAAGGGGAAATACATGTATTTTGTGTAGAAGGGACTAGTGACTTGATCCGTGAGGGAGTTTTTCGTTCCGGATGTCACGGAGAGTACTGTACTGCATATATTTTTATGTTATAATTCATACCAAATATCAATATTTGATGTTCCTCCTTTTTTTTCTAGGTTTATGGATTCAGCGCCTATCTCATCAATCCCTGAGCCTATAGACTACGAAATGGAATCGTAATTGTTCCAAAAACGTGCATTAAGACTCCTTTCTTGTGTTGTGGACTGAGTCTGAAGTGTCCCTTCTCCGTGCTGTTCTTTCCTTTTATACTATTTTAAGACTTATCCCTGCCTAAGTATTTTACTATGTAAAAAGTTTCTCCTGGTGCAAATATTTATATGTACAAAGTGTATATTGGATGTTAAATTGAGCTGCCCTTATAAAGATGTCACTGCTTCATCAAACAAAGTAAGTTTGAACTTTAAAGTTCAAATCGTTGCAATAACCACTTCTATTCATCTCTAGATGTGTACCAGATCAATTACAGCAAACCCTCTGAAAAATTATGGGAATATTTAACATTTTTAGAAAAAAAAATGACAGCTTAAAGATGCTGTTTCAATAGAAGATCAGGTCGATCACGAAGTGAGTAAAAGCACGATTAAAAGAAAAAAACTAAAATTGTGAGGTTTTTAAAACTTTCTAGTTGTTTTTTCTTCTTCTTTATCTATAATACGGGGAAAAAAATCTCATTTTTAATTCATTACTCTGATTATTTTAAAGCTGCTTCTGAAAAGTATGAAATAAGTGTTACAAGAAGAGAAGAAAAGTTAAGAATCTTTCAATGCCTTATTGTACTCTATGAGTGTGTAATGATTTATGTGTAAAACTGACAGATATTCATGGATCCATAATTTTCAGTAAATTTTTCCTCTAATCAAAGTAATATCTAGTCCTCTATAATACTTACAGATTTGACAATCGTCTTTATGAAAGTGATGTCTCGTAAGTGCAGCTCCTACTTGGTTGAGGTTTAATTAGTGAAATTTTGCAACAAATTTTGATGTCTTAATTTTTTAAGAATGAGATTATGCTCAGTTTCGACAAAGGTCTGTGGACTTGCCTATCATACGTTTTTTTGTGATCTTTTAGTTTTAATCTTTTGTATGAGAAGCTCATTTTGTCGCTCAGCTGACAAAAGGGCGTAACTACACATTTAGATGAGCCGTGGAAAACATTAAATTGTGTGGACAAGGTTCATTGTAGAAATTAGATACGCCCTTATGTCAGGAGGGCAACAATTTGCTATAGCACCATTTTCAAAAATAGCATAATTTAATTTTGTCAGCAACGAATCGCTTGTAGATTTCGTGAAATTACAATCCGATTAATTAATTAATAACTATTTTGTCAGAGGAATGACACTGCACAGACCAAGTACCGTCTGCGCAGCATAATGATCATGAGTTCATTCATTTCTACAATATACTGCCCTGCTAATCCAGAATTGTTTCTCTCCAATGGGAATGGGCACTATTTGTTACTGTAGATATGCGCTTTTTGCCAACCACGGTAGTATAGTCTTTCTCTCTCTTCAGTAACTGTAATATCTTTTAAATGTCCAAGGAAAAAAGAATTTGCCAAAAATAATTGTATGTCTTCATTTGGACTTTGAGTTGCTCAAAGTTATTAAATGCGATTCAGCTATCAGTAAATAATTTGTCTAATATGCGAAGGGTTCATTTTACTCTACATTTATCTTGATCTATTTTCTAAGAGCAATCTTTTCTTAGCAAAAAATGTGTTCTCGGCCGTGTTGTGCTGTTTTTTTTTTCTTTCTTTTTTTCTTTAATCGACTGGTCCACAAAATTTGGTAACGAATGAATTTCTCTACTTGAATAACTTGAATTTAACTTTTTCAAGCAGCTTGAAATCAATGTCTCCCCTGTGTGAAAATAGGGCAGCAACAACATCCCAGCTGAACTTGCAAAAGCTGTTAGCAAGCCAAGTTGCCACTTGAAAAGTTATTTTTACTTAAAATTGTTTTAAGTTTTTGTTATCTCTACCTGGAGGTCTGCCTAGGCCTAAGGGTACCCAACTAAAACTGTCTCAATTATCTCTTCCAAATTGATGTGAAGTTCAGATTGCATTAAGAAGAATCAATTTTTTTTACGTCTTGCACTTTCATCTGTCAGAATCAAGACTGATCTTTGTATGGCATGTATATGAGAATATTTTGTAATGTATTTGTTAGTTGTTCCTCAAAATTTTAAGGGTTTTATCTTCCAATCATTTTTACGACTACAACATTTTTTTTTGCAAAATAAAGCATTTATACCGTTGTCTCCTATTTCTTGCTTTCTTTCATTACCTCATTAGGCCTTGTCCACACAAGCACGGTTCAAGGAACTTCAAGCATACAAGTTCCAGGAACTTGTTATAACTCACCTATAACTTGTCCCTAGAACCTGTAGTATGCAGAACTTTTTCGTCCGAACTGCGCTTGTGTGGACAAGGCCTTACAATTTTCTAGGTCAAGTTCCACGGCGATTTGGTAAATTTGTCCTCTACCTGTCTCATATTGATTTTACTGCTCTAAATTCTTAAACATAATGGTTAGAAAAATTTTACCAAGTACTGCTGAACCAAAATTACAAAGAACAAATCATGATAATTGTGAACCGTTTTCAAAAATAACTCAGGGTGGAGAGTTCTTGAAAAGTTAAGGAATTATGCTCCATCCCGAAAGGTCAAAGAATTTTGCTGCAGAACCTTAAAATTATTTCTGCTTGCTGAAATACTTTTTATTTCTCACTTCAAAAGACTTGGCGCAAATTATTTCTTAATTCATTTCATTATTAATCTCATACTTCTCATTGCCCCATGTTTTGGACTGTGAAAAAATGAGACCCTGGAAAATTTTCTGATCAATCATAAATCATGGAATACGGAAAAAAGAAGTCTTCTAATGTAAGTTGAATTGATTTACTTATCTTTTGAATTGCTAAGAACAAAATTACATAAGATTAAAAAAATTCCCAAATTTGCCTGAGCTTAAAAATAAACCTACTCTGCTCTCAGTGAAAACACAGAGCCATTTGAAATGATTGATCACAGAAATACAGTACATTTTAATGAACAGTACAGGGGTTGTTTAAGGTAAAACTAGTATTCAAGCATCCAATAGACCCATGGTCAATGGCCAAAAGTAAAAAAGGAGGAAAAAAACATGTAACAATGAAGTTCAAGCTTAACTCATTAAAACTTTAAAATCGAAATTTGGGTCAAATTTAGCAATGAAGAACCCGGCAAAAGAGAATTAATCAATCAATTTTTTTGTTGAAATCATTCCCTCAACGAACTGAACCTTCAGAATGACTGACTGATGATAAAATAACGTAACGCTGTATAATGCATATGGTTTAGGATTGTTTGAGTTAATCTTAAAGCTTGCTTTCTGAGCCAATGTATTACGTCGGCAAAATTTTGCTATGAACTACTGAAAATCATGACTGTGTGTGATGAGGTGTAGTTTGCTGCATTCCAAATGTTTTTGTTCATAAAGTTAAGAGATTGAACTTAAAATGTAAATCGATGGTGACACTGAAGAAATGCGTAACTGGGCTTGCTGCACTGGATACTTCCTATCACTTGTGAACGTCATCTAAACGTTAATTTTTAAAATTTCGGTGTTTTTTCTTTTTCTACACACAGAATACTCTGTGCAAAATTCTAGCCAATATGTTAGTTCAGTCTCTTTTAGAGTATTAAAATATGAGCGGAGATTTAGAAACACCACAACCGAGATGCGCATTTTTGCAGTTTCACCGTCGAAATACTGTTTGCAAATTAACATAAAAAAAGGGATCTCATCCTGGCGAGCAAATAGAGAAAGAATAGAGAATATTGGAAGCTACTACTCATAATAAAAAATTTCTACAGCCAAAGTGCGAAATAACGTATCTCCATTCGTTACAATGCAGATTTCCTGTCATATTTTTTTCACTGGAAAACTGGTCAACAAAATTTCTTAAAAACTTCCTTAATTTTTATTCTCTGCTAGCAGAATATTCTGTATGAATTTCAGGCTATAAAGTTGGCTTGTTTCTTTTAAAAAAAAATAAAATTAGAGGGGAAATTGTGAAACACCGCAGTAAAAATACAAAGTTTTGCACTTCGGCCATCGATTTGATATGCAGCCGATAGATCAACTCATAAAGCAAGTGAATATCCATGATTAATTTGTTTTAAAACATGACAGTTTCCAATGAAGAACAAAAAATCCAACCAGGGATTTGAATTTCGCTTTTGTAAAGACAGTACTTCATTTCAAGAGAAGTATTCTGCTCAAGGACAAGAGAACGCAGATGAGAATCTAGAGCAAAATTAAAAATACAAAGAAAGAGAAAAGAAAAGTTTGAAGATTTAGACTTTCCCAAAAGGCAGGTCAAGTTTCTGTCACTCAGTGTTGACGAATTAGTCTCTAACTAAAAGCATCTTCCCTTCTTCTTCAATGCAAATGAAAGGACAAATAAATCATTCATACAGAATTTGACCCTGATTTATCAATAGTTATGTGATAACATAAATGTTTATGGTCAATGCTAGGAAAAGAGGCAGTCAACAGGCGAAGTCAGATTAATGGTTCAGTCTATTTAAGAATTGATCAATTCTGGAAAGCCTGAGTCCTTAGAATAAACCAATGTACCTGATTTTCAACCCCTAGACAATACTCCAACAACAATACAATGACTCCACTTCTCATCTGCCACTTTTGGTAGCATAGACCATAATCTTTAGATTCATAAATAAATGCTTAAACAAGGATTATTCCTTTAAGATTTTAGTAAAATATCTTATTGAAACGACCGAAAACAAATCAACTATCAGTAATTTAAAAAAGACCAACATTGTTAGGACTTCATCAAATTCTTGTCAATTTGAAAAATTCTGACCCACTCAAAAGTCAATTTTATAACTTTTTAGATCAATTTCTTTTTGAACTGTGGATTCCTCCTTATTACCTAATTCCTGCTGCATTACCTAATTTCGAAGTCATTCAATAATGTTTTTGGCAGCCTTGATGCACCATCTCTACTGATATAGTTTACCTTAATATAAATCTTAAAATTTTATTCATGAGAAAAAGAGTTTGAAAACGTAACATACTGAGCACAATATTAAGCAATAATTCAGGGCTGCAAAAAGTACCTGATTATGCGACAGGGAAGTTCACAGTTTTTTCGTGTGCAGAAATCGAAAGGCCCCAAAAACGGGTTTTAAAATAGGAACGCCGGCAAATGCTCGTTCATCCATTCAATATGTGCAGTGCCATTCGGTCATTATCTAGAAATTTTTGAGGAAAAAGAGGTTTAAACTGGACAGCCAAGAACTTTTTGCATCCCTGGATTAATTCTCTGAGAATTAGAAGTTAGATTCGCAAAAAAAAAAAAATTTTACAGTATAACTTCCTTTTTCAAAACTGCTGTCCAAAGCAAGAACGCCTTAACTTCCTTCTAGATTTGGCATTTCTTTCCCTTTATTTACAAAATACTCTTTAAAAATGGTTGATCAATTTTGTGGTTCATTTTTGCGGTATGAGAGCTCCATCATACAAAACAGTATTCTAAAAATATACAAAATGAATGTTAAAGCAGTTTTTGGGTAGAACTTCCTGGCAAAAAAGAAAGCAATAAGACAAGAATAAAGTTATGGCATTCTTGTTTTGGAAGGAAAAGTAATTAGTTACCATATGCAACATGTAGTTCATAACAACTGATGCTTTAAAAATTTTTGAATTTTCGAGGATTCTGATTTCTGCCAAGTTACGTTTCCAACTCAAAAATATGAGACTTGCTTGAAAAGATGACTAATTTACAAGCAAAGATAAAATACAATTCCCAAAACAACAATCTGGATTTATAAAAAGTAGTCTGCTTGGGGTTTTTTTGATGGTACACCTCTACTTTCCTGTGGTGCAGCTTCAAATATCGTGAAACCTCTTTCCAAAGTATCGGTTAGTTGGAGGATAGCTGCAACATTACCACACCTGTAAATAATAAAAAATGACTTTAATTTTCAGCTATAAAAAAGTGGCTGACTTCATAATTTTTATCATACATAGAATTAAATACACAAAGTAAGGAGTAAGCTGTCTAACTATAAGAATTTGTGCATTACTTAATGACAGTTATGGTGGGTCAGTTGTGCTGGTCATATTCAAATGATGTTTTGATCATATTCGATTACACATCAGTAAAAAATGATAAGATCTGTCAAAACACCATGTTTTCCCTTCCAATATTTATTAAGGTGTCATCCTTCAACAAGTGAAGCATACGACATTACCACCAGGGTTGTGCATAACATGGTTTCATCCATATTTAAAGTACAGCAATCAGTGTAAATATGTGTGTATCAACAACTGCTGAACCCAAGGTGGCAGAAATAATGTCCAGAAAGCAATCTTTAAGCTTCAAGACATATGGTGGTCATCAGAAATGAATTTTCAATACAGCTTGGTTAGAATTCCGATTTGAATTTTATAATATTCCATCTGTTAAACTAGTTTTACCACGATAAATTCATAATTGAGTTGAGAAGAAGTCAAAAGACTTTGAATCAACTGAAGTAACTTCACAAATGCTCAGACGCAAAATTTCCAATTATAGCGCAGAGAATGAACGATTCCCTCCGAGTAGGAAACCTTCCTCTGTGAGCACAGAACTCCAGTCTAGATGACTGCTTGCTTTGTGAAAAATGACCCCACGTAATTATTATTTTACTTTAATGAATTTTATTCTTTCGTCAGAAACTTAAAATTTACCAGCAAAACAAACAAAATTCCATAGTTTAATGCTGAAGGTACTTAAGTGCACAGTATTTTTTTACCTGTAACAATAATTTGGAGCTGACCAAACAGTGAGGACTGCTTCACTAAAATGCCACTTGTAGCCTTCCATAACAAGTTGGTGGGCTCGGCAAATCATGTCAATGTTGTTAGTTGTACTAAACTGGACAGCCACATCTGATCCAAATAAGTATCCAGCTCCTCGTGGGCTCACACCCCATCCAAGAGCATCTAAAATCAAAGTTGATCGAGATAAAGGAAACAATAGTGATAAAGAGACATACAGAATAAGAATAAAACTCCGAACATTTCAGCTTTTTCCTCATCAAATGATTAAAAGTTTCAGATACTTTAGGCAGAGAAACAAATACAATACAGCATTTGTGGTTAATGCAAGTCCTTTTCTGCCACACTCTCCTCCTAACTTTAAGAATGCCTCAACAAAGGTGTACCGTATATTTTATTCCATTCTAACTTTTAGTTAAAGCCCTCTTTATGAAAGGGACCTCTGTTGCAATTGGAAGCACAGGTCTGAGTCACTCTTCAAAAAAAACTAAGGTTCAATAGACACTTCAACATTGAATTAGAATTAGAAGATCAATCCTAAAGCAATATTGAATTAAAAAATTTGATACTTTGAAAAAAGTCAAGAGCAGATCATGTCTACAAATTTTTAGAAGGAAAATTGTAGTTTTACAGAAAATGAATTTAAACAGATTTTAAACCGGCTCCACGCAATATAAAAAAGCAAAATGGTTGAACATTGCCTGGTTTGCTTTTCATCGATCAATATCTGTAATTGCAGCCCTAAGGTATAGGAGGTAACCAAAGGCCAATGATACAAAAATATCGCTGTAGCGCAAGTAGGAAGCAAATATTGAGTTGTGAAGCAATTTCCATAAAAGAATAATCCTTTCGAGAGGAATTTTTTAAAGTGAAGGATAAATAAAAAAAATAAAATATAAAATTTCTTCCCTTAGCAAAATTTGGGAAAAATGGGAAATCTTCTGGGAGTGAGAGAGGAGAGAACCTAGATTGCATGAAATGTTTGGCCGAATGGTACATTCTGCACCCTTGAGATAACCTACTCAGTCTTCATTTCGCTTATCCCTTGGAAAAAAGAGGCAAATTGCTCAGTTTGCATAAAATTGAGCATTTTTACATGAAATTGAAATAGGAAAATTGGAAAGACTGGCACGAGGCAAAAACGGTGGGTCACAAGAAACAGCTAATGTGTTGGATTTTCTTGCATTCCTGCCTCTTCAGCACCTTCATAATTCAGCTATTAAAGCTAGTGCCCCTTGTACAACATTTAAAATTTTACCTTCAGGATCCGACCATAGGAGATCACACATGGGTCCATCATGAGGAACTTCCTGCTTCCTGTCTATGATCCGTATTTGGTCCAAAGTCTGTATTGACGGAGACAAACCTCCATGGACACAGAATATCTAAAAGAAAAGAAAAATATGTGATACAAAAAATTGAATTTAAGATTAAATTTTGATTGAATTGAAGATTCAATTTCAATTGAATTAAATTGAAGATTTTTGGGGTATTGTATAAGTTAACTACTTACTAATACTTGGTGAATGAAAATGGTTCATATATGGGGGAGAACTATCACAGATAGACATGAAGGAATCATTCTCTAACATTCCATGACCATAGTAGACTGATTTAGAGGCTACATCATTTGATATAATATCGAACTCTTGGTTCAAACCAAAACGAACTAACATTACCTTATGTACTCATTCTTCATGTACACATTTTTCAGGAGTTAATTATGTTAATTATCAATTAAAGACTCATTAAACACAAGGAAGTTTAATTGTAAGGAGCACTTGGACACATTTTACCACCATGGTGCAAAAGGCATAACTCAGAAAGAAGGTTCTGTGTTTGTTTACATTTAAACCAAGGGTTCAATATTACATCGAATGATGTAGCCACTGAATCAGTCTATTCAAAACTCGCTGATTCCTGAAATACGGATTTGTTGGGACACATTCGGCAATTGTCATGGACATGGGTACTGCAGGAGAAAACAAAGCCACAATTCATAAATAAACGAAAATTTACTTCCTTTTCACAGAAGGAGAGACAGTACCTGTGAGTGACTCATAATTGAGGTGCTGGGTGAGAGAGGAGTACTTCTCTGTTGCATTGTTTCAGAATCTCTGTTACTAATCTACATCTTTGAGAGGAATCTAGTGGGTGATTTTTCTATTAATTATTCTTTAGTACACTGTACAATCATGAAGCATATTCAGTAAAAATTTTGATGAAATACTGGCATTAACGCTACGACCAAGAAGTGCCCTTCTCGTACCGAGCTCTTCAGTGTCAACAGCTGCAATTGCCATTTTTATTATTAAAGAGCATCAAATTTTTCTTATTATTCAATCTTAAATTATTCAAGGAAAACGAGAGAGAAAAAATAATAAAAAGGAAGATGAGTTGCCCAGGTTAAATACTAACCTTTCCATCAATGATTGCTGACAGACTGAGATAATCAAAAATTTCTGTGCAATACCTCCAGACCGTCACACTGCCATACTTCCTAACACATTCATCATAAAAACCGTAAACTTGCGTTATCTGCCTTGACTCATGGTTGCCTCGAATCAGGGTTATTCGGTCAGGGTATCGAACCTGCAAACAAAAGAGAACAGGAAAATAGAATGTAAAAAATAGAAATATTGATGGAAATGTGCTGAGATGAAGGCATGAGGTTTTTAATTGTAAATACTACTGGTTTCCTTGGTGTCTCAATCATGGTTCAGATAATTGAAAAGCTAATGGCACCCCCTCCGTGATTGACTGCCATTCATACATAGTAATATGTACGTGATGCCAGAGTACACAGAGTCGTAATGCAAGTGGGAGAGCTGGCGCCACTTTTAAGTATTTTCCAGGTCCCAAATTCCGAGAATCCTGAGTGACTCCAGGTCACTTTTTTGATACAAGATCGATTGTTTGCGATACACCGGTACCTGGCCATCCTATGTAAATGAAGGAGATAGGAATCACTACGTATCCATACGGCCATTTTGGATCGAACATGTATCGAAAAAGTGACCCGAGCTTGGCGCACCCCAGGCTCGGAGCTGGTCGAGCAAAACATGGCGCTAGCTCTCCCATTTACATTACGACTCTACGTACTCTATACTATTCAATTATTTTTTGGTTAGATGATAGAAGGACAAAGAAATTAAGTATCTCTAGGAACTAATCATGCAACTCCATTCCAGCTTGTCACTGTTCTTCATTATGTCTGATGGACGATGAAAAATTTAACTATCAGTCTGGAGCTGATAAGAGTAAAATTTTCTACTATTTCACAGCAACATTAATGATTTCATACAAAAAAATGGTTAAATGTATCTGATACATTAATATTACACTGCGACCAAAATTTCATTCACTGAATGAGAGATCCCTTAAACTTGAAGTTAAAATTAGCTTAAAGACTTGGGTTGAGGATTACCTTAAGAGCTAGTAAAAGTAAAAATGTTTCAACACTATAAAATCCTCGGTCAACAAAATCTCCCATAAAAAGATAGTTAGTTTCAGGAACATTTCCACCAACAGCGAACAGCTGCTTCAGATCATAGAACTGCCCATGAATATCACCACAAACCTGAAAAAGAGAGAATGTTGTAAAACTTTGCCACTCATAAGCTGGAGAAATTGATCATTTAAATAATGATTAACAACTATAAAAATATTTCCATAGAATTCGCAAAGGAATATTATTGGGTGCTCAACTTATTTGAGTCAATTTCACAACATAATTTATTGTTTAAACTGGATCTTTGTAGGCAATTTTATAAACCTAGGCCTCATGAGGCTGTTAGAACTGGAGGAAGAAAAGAATAGACAAAAGTCACATCAGTCTGAATGCATCAAATATCAGTTGGCCCACTGGTCGGCATGTAAATATCTGTTGAATGGTGCAATTTTTGGATGTGACATTTATCTATTCTTTTCTTTCCCTAGTTCTACCGGCTCTCTGAGTATCGAGACAAACGTCCATATCAATCAGTGGCACCCCAAATCAATTATTGTTGCTGTCGCGTTGTGAACATTATAACACCCTGTTTGCAAACTTCAGCTGTATTTTTTCACTCCTGTTCTTTTACTTCTTCCAATGTACATAAAAATTCTCCATTTTTGTGCATTTTTCTTTAAATTAAACACCAGATACGTATATGAACTTTTAGAGAGCAACAGAGGATCAGTTGCCTTCGGTTCGACATAGAAAAAGAATAAGTGTACAGGAATCAAGACAGCAGATCTTGTGTCGCACTCTAAACAGGCGTTGACTCATTTGGCCTGTGCTGTAGACCTGGCGGGAACCAGTATTTATGATGAAAGTTTACAAGGTTTACAAATGGAAACAATCAAAAGTTATTTCTTCAATTATTTACAGATTTTTCTTCATCCTGGGTAAAAATTATTTGAAAATTTTGAACAATGACATTTAGTGGTAGAGGTGTCGTCAGCTAAGTTGACAGTTGTTTACTTTCGGTTTGCAAGCGCCAACGATGAATTTGGGCCTCTGAAGAAAGCGGCACTCGCTACTATCCACACTGAAAACATCAGTCTCATGATCGTATCATAAAAAAAAATACTTATCAGTTATGATTTGCGACTTTTTTGTGGTTGTGATTTCTGTGTGGCTAAAAATTAAAGTATTACAAGGTTTGAAAGTGTTTGAAAACTTATCTAAGCTTGTGTTCTTGCTTCTGAGAAAGTCAGATGTTTTCATGAGGATAATAGTAATGCGAAAACGCCTGCAAACCGAAAGTAAACAACCGTCAACTTAGCTGACGACACCTCTAAGTGTTACTCAAAAAATATAACTGCAGAGATTTTGGGAGATTGCAATCAATATAAATTTTGGCGACTTTCACCGTTGATACATATCGACGGCATAAGTCCGCAATCACATATCTCTTTTCCAGTGTCTAAAAATCTCCGCCTCCATGTTATTTTCTTAATGGAGAACAAATTGACATCATTCCTTGAAGTTAATGCAGAATTTTCTTCGCACAGAGAAGAAAAATCACGGCAGTTTTAAAGAATTGCTGTTCAGTAGTTTTCCGTTTAAAAAATAAAGTATAACAGGAAGTCTGCGATGTCGCAAACCAAGTTATGTGATTGCCGACTAACACCGTCGATATACCAAAGTATATTGGCAGTTACCACACTATGTACTCAATCTGTAAAAAATTATTATTATTTAAAATTTAGATAAATTCATTAATTTGGAATAGAAAGAACACGCTGGTACTTACAGTTACAGGTGAATCCACACGTTGGACATTACTTTCTTCAACTAAGATTTCTCTGGCTTTAGTGCAGAGCGCTTTGACCTCATTCTCCTTAATTATTTCACAACGCTTCAGCTGCTCTATCTGTCTATCTAGATCTAAGTCTCCCATGGTACCTAAAAAAAAAAAAAAAAGATTTAAAATTTTACAAAGCCACACTCTCACCCACAGTTCAGCTGTGAGAAAAATGAAAAGTTTACAGATTTCAAAAATGAGTCTATTCAAGGCTACATTCATATGAGCGTTTCAAAACAGGTTGAATGAGTGTCCTGCGATAAAAACCGAGAATGTACATGGAAAAATTTTGTATTAATGATGTTGCAACACGCAACTTCAACTGGAATCATGTTTGATATGAAGCAGATCCAGAAGCATCATATGCTCCTGGAGATTCATATTGAAAATACTTAGGGGATGTCAGACTTATGGGGCGTATGCTCACCTAACATGCATTGCCGAGGTGAACAGTTTGGGCCAGTTACAACGTAGATGGCCCACACTTAACCCACAATTGAAATTGGTCTACTCCTATTCAGTCAAACAATTACCTTCATATTCACATGTAAATGCTCTAAATTTGCACCTAACGCTCATCTATCTCTGGAGGTTGATGAATACAATGAGGGGTGTATCGTAAACAAGGGAACTGGACAGTGTCTGGTTGGTTTCCTTTCACAATGCAGCTCTAAGACACAGACACTGTGAATAGGTAGAGCCTGTATCAGGAGAAGAAATTTGGGTGAGCCCTAGAAAGATGCTACGCCATCCTTTCTGCACCTTACCAGTGCCTTCCCAAGGCGGCTAAAGAATGGTGGTTGCATTTCGTACCCACTTGATGTCAAACGGCATCGGATATATCCTGATTGCAAGGCAAAGCATGTACCATCTGCGCATTACAGCCTTTTAAATGGCAGCTCAACTCGAATTCGACCACCTTACTTAATCCACCTTCGTTGCCTTTCCGTACCTCAACAAGGGGACCTTACTATCCCCAAAATATCTTGATAAAGAATCTTAGACAAGGAACCTTATGAAAGGACACCTTAATAATAGATGCTAGTGGCATGAGGGTCTCTTGATATTGTTTTATCAGCAGCAAAGAGAAATCCAATTTTCATAGCGCCACACCAGACGTCAGACACAATGTTTGAATTGCCGCAGTGGCTGTAATTAGAGCCCTTGGGGAAAGAAAAATTAGTATCCACCTTCGCCATAGGTGTTATAAGCCGTTTAAAAAAAACTGAAGTATCGTCTGATACAACTTATGTATGGTAAGGTACGATTATTTAGATGCCGCTCGTTCAAATATAACCTAAAAAGATGCTGACAGTTTGGCTTACCTCAATGACGGCACCTGAAGAAATGTCAGTTGCACAACACACGCACAGCACTTGTTTTCTGGATTTCTCGCTTGTTTTCGGTCAAACCAGCGAGAGGTTACTTAAGAATATAATCGTGGAAGAGTTGCATGGCGAATAGTACGTGTACTGGGCACAAAAAACAGGAATTCGCGAGTTCTGAAACAAGCGGACGCCCGCTTTTTGACGCTGCAGGTTTGGGTTTGTCCCGCGGTTGGGCGACCATCGAGCCATCGAACTGGCATTCAACAATCGCAATTTGGTATATCGTTAAAAACCTTCAAAAACTTGGGTCTGTTTTTGGCGAAAAAAAAGTGAGACAGCGTTCTTCCTGAACTTCAGAGAATATTACGCTTCAAAGATGGGAAAAATGAATGATAAGTGATAATAATGCTTTCCTCCCGAAAAATATCGAATTCTATCGAATTCAGTACATTTTCTAATCAGACTTCTCCTGCTTGTAATTCATGAAGTTCTCCGCTATTTTTGGTGAAAATATTCCTCTAACTTCGATGGATTCAACTTTGCTATTTTTCTGAGAAAATATAACCGAAATGTTGAAAAATCATCGAGCTTTTGAAGCTTGCTGGTGTGGCGTATCGAATATCGATTCGACCGCAAGCTGGATTCGACACTGCGATATTTGTGGCGGGCTTTTTGAATGTTCGGAAAGACCGACGTTGACACCAGGCGACCTACGCGCGCCTTTACCGTCCTAATTCAGCTAGCACTACTAGTGGCAGCCACAGCACTACTGTCGGTCAGGCTAACTTTGTGCCACTCTCTCAGCCTCAGGACTTCAGACGTCCATTCCCTCGCCTAGAAATAGGTACTTACCTTTAGGGCTTTTCCTTTTATTTTTATTTTATATTTACAACCAAGAATGATCTAGGTTACCCTGAAAAGCGCTGATTTCGAATTCTGAAAAATTTTCTCAGTTTAAAGCTGTAGGAACTTGAGAGACAGCCCTATTCTGAACGACCAATCCGACTGTGACGTTTTAAAATATCCCCGGTTTCTTCTCTTGCACATAAAAAAAGGAAAGGAAAAAAGGAAAAAAAGGAAGAGAAAAAAAATTATCGTCATAGAAACAAAGTTCATCAATTTCATCTAAATTGCAAAAGCAATAAGCAATTAGGATACCGGAATAAACCAGTTTTTTGCGGATTTTTTACTAAAATTTGGTACCTTAATATGTATTTATATGCTTAAAAAGCTTCTGTAGACCTACATACTTTTAAAAGTAAAAAAAACTCAGGGTGTTATTATTTTTCCAAATTTTCCTGAGGGACATCTATTTTATCACCTAGTTTGCCAAGAATGCTCGTTTAAGAAATCCCGGGTTTTCCGTCTTGTTTCGGGCGATGGCTATGGATTGCCAACAGCTGCATGCAAATTTATAAGTTGCAAAAAATTATGGAACAAATATTTTTGGAAACAATCTTTACTAATTTCATGTCACCGTACAAAATGTCTAAAATAAAAGAAGAGTAATGTGTAAATACTACAAAACTAATGATTCTCGCAAGCGGGAAGGAGAAAAAAATCACGGTTATTTTATAGTAGGATGAGTTCTGATAAAAATTTTCCTGAAATACTCTTGAAGCGACTTTGCCACATTCGTCGTTTTTGAATCAAAAAGGAACCACAGCCTAAATTCAATAGGGCAACTTTGAAACACCCTAAAACAATCAGATCTTTTTTCGGAAAATTGGCAATGTCGCGATAAAAATCAGTAATAGTCTACTTCATCGTAGGACTCAATAGGCAACGCTGGAAGTATAAGAGAAACAACAAAGCGCCCTCAGTTAGTATTGAATGCGACAAGCACTACACGAATTAACGCTTGGATGCAACTATTCGAGCTCTACGGATGTCCGTGTTGCATACGCATGAAAGAGAAGGCGTTTTGATTCTCCAGGCACTCATCGCTTCACCCGCGGCTCGGTGAGGCGGGGCGGGCGGCAGTCAATACTAAGAGGATGCAATTGCACAATGACAAAACGCTTTCAATACCTCGTTGATACTGAGAAAAGGCATCTCTTAGACACAGTTGTTTGCAGGCAAAGAATGTGAGTATCTTCATAGTGGTTCAGTTTCGACAGCGCGATGTACTGAGAAAAATAATTGGTAAAGCAACTATTCGTGCCTCAGATGTATTTTTGTAGTATAAGAGGAAATCAGGGGCTTGAAAGACAAGACGCATGAATGAAGGCAGTTTTGCCTATTTCGAAAAATGCGCGTTTTAAATATTACAAACTTACATGGAGCAACAAGGTGGAAAAATGATGCTGGGTCCACACCAGTCCACACTCAGTTTCGTACTGGTGCGCATTAGAGTTCTAAAAATTTATTTTTGACTCTAATTTTAATTTTTGGTATTTCTTGGCTTTGTTTCCCCGCGAAATGGTGTGGACCCAGCATCATTTCTCCACCTTGTTACATACAGTTTCGGGCCACTTCTTAGTGTTTAATTTTTTCACTTACATGGAGCTTCATGGCGAAAAGAAAGATCAAACTCACTTTTTGATGCTTCAAAATTTTAATTTGGGAGTGAATTTTTCACGGAATATACTCGTATTTTAAGACTATTCTTAGTTGAAATCATTCATATCATACTTTTTTCAAAAGCTGCACTTACGCGCCTAGCTCTCCGAGTCCCTTAATTGAAGGCGCTCCGTCACTTAAGATTCTCGTAGCACATAGGCCACCGTGCTGGGGGTGAAGCGGTGAAGACCCGGAGAGTCAAAACGCCTTCAATTGCGTGCGTATGCAACACAGACATCCATGAAGCCCGAATAGTTGCATCCAGGCGTTATAATGAAATTCACTCAGCATTCGTCACTTGCAATATTGGGTAGGGGCTGAGGGCTTATTGCTCGTTTCTTTTACACCTGAATTTATTCCAGCGTTAATATTGAGCCAAAAAAGTAAACTATTGTTGATTTTTATCGCGACACTGTCAATATTCCGAAAAAGCTTTGAATGTTGAAACGTGTTACATCAGTGCTGGTACTTGGAACCGCAAAAATTAAGTGTTTGAGCATGATTTGTAGAGTTTCCTTCGCTCTAATTCAGCGAATCGTCCTTTAGTTGAATTATTTTTGTTCCTTTTGAATTATTTTTGTTCCTTTTGGACAGTTACACTTATCGTTTCCGTGTAAAATTTGTAAGGATCAAAACAATCCTGACAACTGGCACGAAATTTGAGCAAAACTTGCTTACGAATTTTGCTTTTGAGCAAAAACGATGACCGTTAGCAGACCGTGCAGATTAGTTAAAACCAAAAAGAGGTATATTATTGTTAATAATAAAAATGAACTAGTGTCTAACTAAAATTTAAAATTGCTATAATAAGTTACTAACTTTGATAAAAATCATTAAGTAATACCAACAAGTTAAATTATAATTTAAGTCGTTAAATTTTTATTTATTAAAATTTATTTTGCTTGAAATGTGACATAGGATCTGTAGCATCACAAACCTAAATACGCAAGTGTGTATGATGTTTTATAGTTTCCTCCGAGAAACTGTATCACAATAAAGTCTTACGATAAATTCTGCATTTTATTGCATTTTTCCCCGTTTTAGAATAGCTAAAAGGTCTAGGTCTAAAGTCGACAGGAAAGCACACGAAAGCGTCTTTCTAGTTAGAATTAATTCATAAATGTACACACAATTTCTTTTGGCAAATCTAAATACGTTAAATTGGGAAATTTCATCCATCGGAGAGATCCAAAAACGTTATCAAATAACGCGTGGAACGACCAAATGAAGATTTGGCTGATTGAATTAGCCAAAATGTCTTGTCCTCTCCTCCATTTTTTATGTGCAATGTTTCAAGAACAGTACTTACCTTTTTTTTAGTGCGCAGTTCCTAGGGCGAAGACATTCCTGTCGGTTGGGTACTTGGGTTGATTACTTTTTCGAGATCGAGAACCAAGTCGATTGCCCCCATGCAATCGACTGAGCAGTATCTTTACGTTTATGCCACGCAAAGAGGTTTTCCCTCCATAAGCCATAAGCTTTACCGTCCGCATAGTCTCATTCATCGTGAGAAACTTTTACCAAGATGCGATGCAGTTATAGCCATTCAACCACACCAGCTCCGGTTGAAAAGGATTGCAGAATTGCAAGGTTTCCTCTGACTAATTATTTCTCTCCTCTACAACAAGAGGCGCACATTTTCCATACATTAGTGATTTTGGAAAATGTCTTATCATTCAGAAATTAACAAAAATATCTAAATGAAAATTAGGAGCTGTCCTTGAATACTTAGATCGCTATTTCCAAGCGAAACTTTTCAACGCTTCAGAGCAATTCAACCCCTTAATTTATTATACTACCTATGTGGTTGCTCTTGATCCACAGCTTTGCATGGGCAAAAGTCGTCTTTGGTGGCTTCATGCACAATTCCAGTCCTAGGAAAATTCGATTTTCCGCTATAAAACAAAGCGTAAGTCATTTCCTTTATTTAAATAGCAAAAATTGCATGAAAATCTGACGACCCTGGTAAAAATTGGCAGTAGAATCTGGGTTCCAAAATACCATAGACCTACAGCCGGCTGTAAGATTTCCAATAGCTTCTATAGCCGGCAACACAATTTCTTATAGGTAGCCTTTTATAGCCGATGGCTATTAAGCAATAGCCTGGCGATAAAGTGTATGCTAAACGTTACTAATTACGGATGCTAGGACTTAGTGAGTTTTTGGACTAACGCTCTCTTTTTGGGCCGTAGTATCTTGATTTATTTTGCAAGAAAAGCTCCGTACTTTAGAAGGATGAGTGTCAATCTTAATATATTGGAGCGCCTTCAATTTCGTATAATATGGTGCAATACCTCTGGTGTGAAATAGTTGCTTCAAGCGCCGCGCCGTGGCATGCTGCGGTGCGGCAGGCGGGCAGCCAGCGCGAAACGCGCATTGGCGCCTACAAACCTAACTGGGATACTTCACGCGTTGCGCAATGCGTGAAGTATCCCTGTTAGGTTTGTAGGCGCCGCGCCAGTGCGCCGCCGCTCCGCTTTGTGTTAGGCTCTAATATTGAATCTCGTGGAGTCAGCGTTTTTTAACTCATGACTTTGAAATGTTTGCACACTCTGCATAGATTATTCTCATTTTAATTGATGAAAAAAAATATGTAGTAAAGGAAAATATAATGTGCGTTTTGTAAATATTAAAGTGATTCCGTAAAAACTTAAGGATTTACAAAGCACACGAATTTCTACACAATTTCTTATAGCCTTTTATAGCCGATGGCGAAAAAGCAACAGCCAGGCGATAAAGTGTAAAGCCCGGCGATAGGAACTATAGCCCGGCTGTATAATTTTTTCCACTTTCAACAGCCCATATGATATGAGCCATATATGATATATGCCATATGAGCATATGATTTTCTATCGCCTTCTTCAGTCGGCTATAAGAACTCCTATGGTATTTTGAAACGCAGCTCCTATCGCCAAAATTATCAGGGGATCTCTCATGCCTGAGTATTATTCCTCACTCTCATTGAAACCTGGCAAAATTTCTTCTGCCATGAACCGTCGCTCCTTTGATGTAAGGGCGTACCTCTTTTTCGACATGAGCCCCAAAAAACGTGACGTTATATGGACAGCAGGACTCAGGTAGAGATTGCGATGCGCCCTTACGTCAAAGAAGCGACGATATGGGGCCCGAAATTCCGCATGATAGCATGTATTACGATCATTGCTTTCTGCTCTTTTGATTTACATTGAGCTCTTAATGGACATTTTTTTTTTACAAAATTAATTTCAAATTATTTAAACGAAATTCCGACACGAGCGTTCGTCCATTAATTTCACATCAGTGCGAGAAGTGTCTCGATACCTAATAAACGGAGGTCTATGAATGCATATTTCACGAGCTACATCTGCTCATCAATTGAGAATTTTTCCATCCTACGTTGAGAAATAATGTGCCTAAAACTGTTGCACACTGCCTCAAAAGTTTATCGCACGCAGTTAAATAGCGACTAAAAGGCTCAAAGATTGAAAAGGTCCTGTAAAGTCGATCGCCAAAGTGCAAAACTACGCACCTACTTTCATTGTGGTGTTTCAAAATTTCCGTTCCTATTTTATTTTTTCATAGAGAGGTAAGGCAGCTTCAAGGTTTGACATTTAATGCAGAATACTTATTTCGATGATATAAAGAGGAAAAATCAAGGAAATATTAGGTAGGTGCGTTCACTAGTTTCTAAAGGAGAAAATAAAGTATAGGTATGACAGAGAGTCTGCAGCGACGCAAACGGAGGTACGTCGTTCCACACTTTGACCATCGATATCACAGGTACTCATTGACGAGTCTTATTTACATTAAATGGACGTATTTCTACCAAACAGACCTATGTGGAGGTGAGAAATATGGGGTGTGCTCGTCGAAGCTGCATAAGAAGCAATGTAAAAGTGGGCGTGATTCCTTTTGTAGAATTGGAAAAGCGGGATTTTACATTCTATCAAACAGACCTATGTGCAACTGAATGCGGAACTCATGAGCCGCGGACATGGCAAGAGCGCCTTGTGGACAGGGCTCATGAGTTGAAGACTCCCTCCAACGATCCCCCCGTCGTTCCGGAGCTCCTTCGTTGCCGCTGACGTCACTGGCGCGTTATTATTCTCATTCACTTGCCACGCAAAGAGAACTAACGAGCACATCCTATACAGGGTGATCCAAAAGTCCCTTCCACCCCCTCTAACTTTTTACCTAATTGAGGTGAAGATTTGAAACTTGGGGGATGTTCCTAGGTCAAAGGGAGCTACTTTTTGGCCCCCCTAAAATTTTCAGGGGGCCCCCCTTGGGGGGGGGGCAACGGCCCCCAACTTTTAATTTTCAAATAGGAAGACCCCCTTTGTGATAACTCATTCGAAAAAGCATAAAAAAAGAAAACTTTTCGCGCAAACCCGAAGTCAATATCTCAAACCGTTTCAAAATGGCGGCCGGTTAAAGTTCAAAATGGCCTAAAATTCACACCGGTTATTTGTCGATGGATTTGCGCGAAAATCGGTATGTAGGGGTATTTTGACACGAGAAAAACGAATTTGACGTTAGATTTTCAAAAAAACCGAAATTTCCAAAATGGCCGCCGGTTAAAGTTCAAAATGACCAAAAATTGATTTTTTTAGAAATCTAAGTTCAAATTTGTTTATCTTATGCCAAAATACTCTCAAATTCCAAGTTTTAGGCAAATCCATCAGCAAAAAACCGAGGTGACAATTTTCGGCCATTTTAAACTTTAACCGGCGGCCATTTTGGAAATTTCGGTTTTTTTGAAAATCTAACGTCAAATTCGTTTTTCTCGTGTCAAAATACCCCTACATACCGATTTTCGCGCAAATCCATCGACAAATAACCGGTGTGAATTTTCGGCCATTTTGAACTTTAACCGGCCGCCATTTTGAAACGGTTTGAGATATTGACTTCGGGTTTGCGCGAAAAGTTTTCTTTTTTTATGCTCTTTCGAACGAGCTATCACAAAGGGGGTCTTCCTATTTGAAAATTAAAAGTTGGGGGCCGTTGCCCCCCCCAAGGGGGACCCCCTGAAAATTTTAGGGGGGCCAAAAAGTAGCTCCCTTTGACCTAGGAATATCCCCCAAGTTTCAAATCTTTACCTCAATTAGGTAAAAAGTTAGAGGGGGTGGAAGGGACGTTTGGATCACCCTGTATTTCTCACTTGCACATAGGTCTGTTTGGTAGAAATACGTCCAAATGATCATACTTATATGGATATACGTCCTTACGTCAAGTATCAGAATGGACCACTAGACAAGGTACGAATTCAAGCAATCTGATACATGTTTCTTAACCAGAATTTCACGTGGAGCACGATTCGCGCAACGAAAATTACTGAAACCAGCTCCTGATGAAGATATTAACATTTTTATTTCACATTGGTTACGCGGATTTTGAACTGCCCGCTCACAAGAAACTCAAAGCTCTACGTGAGTCAAATCGCGCACCACAACAGTTTCAGCTAGCCTCTCAATCGATCACTGTTCATAACCCTGCATGTGTTGTTCAAATTATAAGCAATTTGCTATAGCTGAGCCCGCAAGCGTCAAAATTGAGGTTGCCAGATTTTTATATCGCAAAGACTGTCATGATACTGTTCAGCCCGCGATGTGAATCACGTAGAGCATTGAGTTTTAATGAGCGGGTGGTTTGAATTCACGCATCAGGAATCATTTAATATCATTGTAAGGAGTTAATTTCGGTAATTCTTGTGCGCATTGTGTTTTACGTGAAATTTTGGTTAAAAAATATGTATCAGAATGCTTAAATTCGTACCTTGTCTAGTGGTCCATTTGAACTTTTCGGATCTTTCTTTCTAAGTTTCAGTTTAAAAGATTGAACGCACTGTGTCTTTCTTTGTATATCAGTAAGTCAAACAAGTATAAAGAAAATTGCGCTCACTTATTATTAATAGGATTTAAATGAATCCTATGAAGTATAGAAATGGCCACATCTTTCACAGTTTTTTGCTAAAATTTTACTTGGAGCTATAGGAGTGTTAATTGGTGTGGAAAATCGAAACAAGGACTTAAAAGGACGGGTTGGATATGGGAGAATGGAATTAAGCAGAAATAAAAGAAAATAGTCAGGTTTTAACTTAAAATTCTTAAGCTTAATGTATATTTTATATAAATGTGTACAAAATTAAGAATTTAATGTCTTAATCATAATGAGAAGTTGGGTAATTCTTTAGCTTATTCATTGGCTTTTGAGACGCTCTTTAAATAAAAAAATAAATATTAATAAAAAAAAGAGGGGCAACTTCTGAGGGGCAATGGCTTAAAGTAGGTAAGATTCTTTTATCACATATAAAAATCAGTTCAGTAACTTAATGAGGCTTAACCTAAATTGCTTCGACTTAGGATCAAAGCGCTGTCAAATTTACATCTGTCAGTGAGGATCATCATTCTACTGGCTTGTAGATACGGGTGCAAGTGATGTCATCCACAGTCAATACCTGCAACAATAAAATAAGAAATGACAGCATTAACGAGCCACTCGTCATAGATACAACACTTAAATTAATAAATTACCTACTATTATACCGTGATTAGTAAATTAAATGGATTCAGTGATGAGTTAAATTAATGGAATATCCTTTGACTGTGCAGTTTGTCATGTTAAGATGCAAGTTTTTACTATTCACTGGACACCAAAATTGGCCTTAACACATCAGACGTGGCCTTATTTCCTCTCATATTGAATTTTTTTCTCCACAAGGCTAAACTTGCACTACGTTCTACCGTAATGTTACTCACTTTTTCTGAGAAACAAATGAACGAAATACCTAACTGGGCAACATGGGATGCTGTTAGGCTGATGTTGGTTAAATTCGTCAGACTGCTGATAGAGATTTCGAAGAATATAATTTACCTGGGTGAAATTTTTTTCGTTAATTCGTAAATATATAAAAATAAGAAAAAGATGCATCTTTACTCTGCCGTGCTAAGGAAGAATGCCGTGTGAGCCTTCAGACGTTGCCGACTTTCCTTCGATAAACACCGAATTTATTGGGAAAATTGTAAATATTATCTCCCACAATTTTCAGATAATTTTTTACGCAATTTAATCCAAAATATCTGAAAATTTAACGGAAAAATATGCACGAATTTTGTCAAAAATACATTCTTTTTATCAAGGGAAATTTAGCAACTCTCGAATGTTCATACGGCGTTTTTCCTTAGCACGGCAGTACTATCACGATGTGCGATGTACGATTGAAACGGAATGATAGTTAGGCATCGTTTATTACTTTTTTTCTAAACCCATTTCTTTTTTTTATTATTGTTTTCTTGCGATTTATTCTCTTTCCTACGCAATAGGTAGGTACATTAATATTTCTTTAGCACGAATGAACTCTCGAACAACCGATGCAGTTTTGCAGAGTCCCCGGAAGCACATGCAATCTGTTGGCCAAGATCATGAGTCCTCTCTTATCACTCGATTGCGGGTGTTTCTTGCTAAGCTTATCCGCCTCATACTCATACTCCGATCAGTCTATAGTGTAACTAGTGATAAAATGCTGAATGCAACGAGGAAAATGTTAATGTTGCTACACGGGTTAAGGTCCGCGTTCAATGTTCTTTGACTCTCAGAGTAAACATTTTGCTGGATTTTTCAAGTCTTCTACTTTCAGGGTTAAATGGATTTTCGTGAACATCTACCTTTGGATACGCTTCCCTCCCTTTGCTTATGAGATATTTTTGACCGTACATCCGTGACAGGATTTCTGGCTGCGCCCCTACCCATTTTGGAAGATCACGTCGGCGTAAGTCTGCAATCACATATCTCGTTTGCGGTGTCTGGAAATCTCCGTCTCTATGTTATTTTTTTAAAGGAGAACACATTGACATCATTTCTTGAAGTTTATGCCGCGAATATTCTTCGCACAGAGAAGAAAAATCACGGCAGCTTTAAAGAGTTGCCGTTGAGTAGTTTTCCGTTTAAAAAATAAAGAATGACAGGAAGTCTGCGTCGTCGCAAACCGAGTCATGTGATTGCCGACTTACACCGTCGATTTGAGGCGCTGAGTACAAAAAGGGCACTTCTCGGTTGCGATGTTTCAGAATCTCGTCAGTCAATTCAAATTTTATAGAGGAAAAATGACGGGTAATTATTTTTCTGTGATTTTTTGGCTACAAAATTGTAAAATTATAGAGAATAGACAGTACAAATATGGTGTCTAGGATTCTGATTTCTTCCATTACCTGGTTATATTTCTGGTTTTTCCTAATTTACAGGGAAAAACTCTCTGATGAAAATCCAGAATTTTCTCTCGTTTTCATTCAGATTCTCTTAAGAAAAATAAAAGATTTTCCTTCAGTCCGAGAAAAAAAACAATTTTTCCATACTGTATGTAATTCTTTAAAGTCAAGTCAACGCACTGGCCACCAATTGAAAATGTATGATTGAATCTCAGAGCGAAGAAAGAATAATTCTCAATTTTCAGCACAGATTTCCTGACAAATTCTATAATTTTCCTAGATATTTATCAGACCCTGATAAATCCCACTTTTTCCAGGCTCTAAACACCATGCTTGAAACATTGTTTAATGATAATTATGTGCATTACGTTTCCCAATAATCATCGTATGTTCGCGAAGAATTTGAGACACTGCAACCGAAAAGTACCTTTCCTGCATCCCGCGCTTCAATAATTGCAGAAATAGTTGGACATAAATCAAATCCGAAGGAACTACCCTGGTAAAAATTGGCAGTAGAATCTGTGCTCCAAAATACCATAAACCTACAGCCGGCTGTAAGATTTCCAATAGCTTCTGTAGCCGGCTGTATAATTTCTTACAGCCTTTTATAGCCGATGGCGATTAAACAACAGCCAGACGATAAAGTTTATGCTAAACGTTACTAAATACGGATACTAGGACTTCGTTAGTTTTTGGACTGCGGCTCTCTTCCTCTGCCGTAGTATCTTGATTTATTTTGCGAGGAAAGCTCCGTACTTTTGAAGGATGCCTGCCATTCCTGATATGTTGGAGCGCCTTCAATTTCGTACGATACTGTGCAATACATCTGGTGTGATATAGTTGCTTCAGACGCCGTGGCACGCTGCGGCGCGCGAGCAGAGAGCGCGAAACGCGCATTGGCGCCTACAAACCTAACAGGGATACTTCACGCGTTGCGCAATGCGTGAAGTATCCCTGTTAGGTTTGTAGCCGCCAGTGCGTCGCCGCTCCGCTTTGTGTTAGGCTCTAATATTTAATTTCGCGGAGTCAGCATGTTTCAACTCATGATTTTGCAATGCTTGCACACTCTGTATGGATTATTCTCATTTTAATTGATGAAAAAAAATACGTTTTAAAGGAAAATATAATGTGTGTTTTGTAAATATTAAGGTAGTTCTACACAATTTCTTATAGCCTTTTATAGTCAATGGCGGTAAAGTGTAAAGCCCGATAAAGCGATAAGTGTAAGTGTAAAGGCGATAGGAACTGCAGCTCGACTGTATACTTTTTTATAGCTTCAAATAGCCCGGCTCTATGATTTGCTCCGCTTTCTACAGCCAGCTACATGATTTTCAATAACCTTCTTTTGTCGGCTTTAAGAACTCCTACGGTATTTTGAAACGCAGCTCCTATCGCCAATTTTTACCAGGGTATACCCATCGTGGGATGAGCCCTGCCATACATGTATTATTATGGATCTTAGGGCTTGTGTCAGAATGGACATGGTTCCTTTTGATTTTGATACGTCCAGTTTAGAGTCCCTTTATATCCAGAGTTACGACAACTCACTTTTGGTTGGGCCAGGATTGGGCTGAAAGTGGCCTAAAAAAAATCCAATTCTGATTGGTTCTCGCTCATGGAGGCCGAAACGAGTGCACCAAGATGGCGGTACCTCGAATGTGAACAAGAATAATGAAAATATTACCTAATTGTGGTTTATCAAGAGTAAATTGTTATTTCCATAGGTCCAAAATGAAAATAGATTAAGAAATTATTCACAAACCAATCTCATTTTCTTTTTAATTGATCACTTTGTTGATGTTGTTGTTTTTGTGTGACAGACATCGCAGGATTCCTGATCATTATCCCTCAATATCGTTCGTTTGGGTGCACTCGTTTCGGCTTCCATGGCCAGCCAAGGACGGCTGCCAGTGAGCTGATAATCGAGTTGTCTTAACTCTGGGTATAAAGGGACTCTAGTCCAGTAGTGAGAAGTGGGTAACGTACCATTTTGACTTCTTCGGGGGTGAACTCGCGGATGATCTTGGTGACCTTGTCGCCCTTCTGGATCTGGATGAGCTTGTTGCCCTCCTGCGTGATGACGGACTTGACGTTGCGGCCGTCGGGCGTCTCTTCGTCGAACTCTTCGCCGAGCTTGAAATTGGTCGTCGTGTCCTTGAACGTCGACTTGGACGTCAGCGTGTACGTGTCTCCGTTCTTGGTCAGCTCCATCACCGGCGAGACTGCTGCTCCGACCTTCCGCGTGAACAGACCCACGCCTGCCGGAAACAAAAAAACAAAACAAAAACTCATTAGAAAATCGCTTATTAATATAAAATCAAGAGAGTAACGTTAATCGTATGACGCGAAGCGCCTGGTGGGGGTGGCCCGCGAGGCAGTCAGGGGACTTAGCCATAGCCCCCTGGTACCTACAAAAGAAAAATATCAATTGGTCCCGGGATCAAATCCCGGTGGTTGCGCGAAATTTTTACAGAATTGACGAATGGGTTTGCTAAAACCGAAGCTCTCGAAAGAGTTTGAGAGGGTGAAAACATGGACGTGTCTATTCCCTCTGATCAGTATACTCGTATTCTATGTTGAACGTATTCATACCAAAATGAATCAAGTGCGAATGAATAAAATCAAGAGGGACCATGTACATTACGCGATCACTACGCACATAGTTCCTTCGGGTTTAATACATTTTCACTTATAGCTCTTTTCAGCAAAAAATACGTTCATCGGTTCACATCTTCTGAACAATTTAAATGCCGATTCAGGGTGGCAATTTTCTTGGATTTCGAAATTACCTCACTTTTCAGGGATTTTGAACTTAAACTTAACCAGTCTGTTATCTTCTTTTTTTTCATAAAAATTCTTAAAACGGGACATTTTAAGCTAGTTTCTTGAAATTGAAAACTGCGATGGATTGGTTGAGAGATAGAATTTCAACCGCAGGAAAATTCCCTGTCGTCCCATGTTTTTAGCTGTTTTTCTCGTTTCCTTAAACTATTACATAGCGTCTTTTGGAAACCCTTCTCCCTCTCGTTATTCAGCCGTAACGCTGACCCAAGCACCCCCCCCCCCCAGGAAAAAATAGATCCGTGGAAAAAAACTAGATGAAGGGCTTGGAGGACAAGGTGCATGAGTGCAGTTTTTGCTATTTCGAGAAATGCGTGTTAGAGGTTTCGAAACTACACGGACAATTATGCTGAGAAGAAAGTTTAAATTGACTTCCTGGTGCTAAAGAATTTGAATTTGGGAGCGTATTCTTAACAGACATAGAGTACATAGAGTCGTAATGTAAATGGGAGAGCTGGCGCCATGTTCTGCTCGACGAGTTCCGAGCCCGGTGTGCGCCTAGTTCGGGTCACTTTTTCGATATATGTTCGATCCAAAATGGCGGTGTGGAATACGTGGTGATTCCTATCTTCTTTATTTACATTGGATAGCCGGGTACCCGTGTATCGCCAACAATCGACTATGTATCGAAAAAGTGACCCTGCGTCACACAGGAGTCTCGGAATTCGGGAAATGCTGGAAAATGCTTAAAAGTGGCGCCAGCTCACCCATTTACATTACGACTCTATGTACTCTATGTTAACAGGGTATACATTAACACTAGTTTTACTTGAAATCATTAAGATCTCAATTTCTTCAAAAACTCCACTTATGTCCTTGTCCTCCAAGCCCCTCAAAGGTTGATCCTCAAAATCCTCCGAGTGGGTGTGAAATTTTACACAACTATAACTTACTAGAATCCGCTCATGATTTTAATTTGCATTGGTTCGCATTTGATTGGCGATCGACGTGCGAACTGCGAACTCGATCGGTGAATTAATTCGCTCGCCACGAAGTTGCGGAAAGCGAGACAGCTATTCAAATCGCTCACGGCTCAATTAATTAGATTCCTGGCGTCCGAAGCACGGCCGTCCGTCCGAATGTGACGTAGCGGCCACCGAGCTGTAATCCATTACCATGCTCGGAAAGCCGGAAAATCTGGAATTATCGCTTTCTTTTCACCGGCTTACGCGCGAGAACCCACTCCATTTCCCGGCGAAAATTCCCCCGCAATTGAAGGGTGAAAATTCAAAATCTGGTAAGGCGTTGTTAAGGGGCCGTTCGAGTGTTACGTAACGTACTTAGGGGGGGCAGTGTTACGGTACGTTACAAGGGGGGGGGGGTGAAGCCTAGCGTTACGAAAAAATCCGAGCCGAGGTGGGAAACAACTTTTTAAAAAACGAGAAAAAAATTGAGAATCCCGCTATTTCTGGCTGATTTTGTTGAAAGTGGGAGGGGGCATCGGTTATCGTTACTTACTTCAAAAGGGGATGTGTGGGCTGCGTTACTGGTGAGGTTTATGGATTATGAATTTATGGAGGCCATACAAACATGAACTTTCATTCCGCCTTTTGGCAATACAACTATTTGGCCAAGAGAGAATACCTAGAGCCTCGAAAAAAAATACTGGGCGAGCTGATCAAGTGTTGAAGTCACTTCTTCGCGTCTATTAAAGCGTAACATTCCTCGATGATACCACTATTCGACCACGTGGGAGCCCGTGTTGCCTACTCCGAAAATTGAAGGCGAACTGCCGATGCGATAGAATCACCTCTTATTTGGTAATATTTAGCATATTCCGAACACGTATGACATTCACGGTGATACCACTATTCGACCGCGTGGGAGCCCATGTTGCCTATACTGAAATTTGAAGGAGAACTGCCACAGCGTTCAAGTCACCTGAAGTGGCAAATTATCGTTATCCCCAGTAAGAATCTATTTGATAGTTATACAATGGTATTCTACTCAAAATTCATTATTCTTCTACTTGTGATGCAATGTGAAGGATCTCCTGTAACCTCCCATAATCAGAGAGGAAATTTTTCATGAAAAATGAAATCTTGAAATTTCACGTGAAATATTTCATGAAATTTCAGAGATCTATGTAAGATATTGAAAAATACCGATTCCTTTACATGTTTCACAAAATGTAAAAATTGTGACTTTCTTGTATTTTTGTGCGTTTGAGTGCGGGTTGCATACTCTAGTCCCTGAAAAATGTGAAATATTTCACAGTCTCGTGAAATTTCATGAAATATTTCTCTGAAATGACCAATCCTTTATTTCTTTCTTACGTTTCATGCCACCATGCCCCAAATCACAATATAAACCGCATGGGACCTCCTAAAAAGGGCCTTGACTTAAGAGCGACAGCGATATGACCCTTGATCCATTGCACTATCATTGGATAAGTCGCACTCGCAGAAAAGAGGTACCAAGATGAGACTGAGAGGAGCCGATCTGAAGCGGAGTTAGGCGGTGAATCTGGACGGGATGAGCCGACCCAGTTCCCAATTGCGTGAATCTGGTCGCTCCAGATTCCTGGCGGGAGGCTTAATTTGTGACAATAAGGAATTAAGTGCTTCTGGGCCCAGGAGCCCGGACCACGCCACGCAGCCGCTTCCTCATTGGATGCGTGGACAACCCGTGATTTTCCAACGTTGCCGAACGTCTCGAATTTCTTTAAGAAGCTCAGCGTGAGATTTGTGGAGTCGATTTTACAATCGGAATGTGGAGGCAACTTTTTCGAACCGATGAACGATCAAAATCAATCAATTTTCATCAACTGAAGCGTTGACGGCATTGGATTCATATAGCAGGTTTGTCATCATTTCGATCCGAAAATGAAAGAAATCGATTTAAAGGACAATCGACTTTTTTCTCCCTGCGTCGCTCCCTTCCCTAAGAGTTACTTTTGGAAGTTGACGTTTAGATTCGCCTAATATTGATTGGAAACCAAAGAATTGAGCAGTTGGCTCTGGAATACCCTAACTTGATTTGCAAAAACTTGCCCAGCTAAATGCTCACCCCGACATTCATCAGTCAGCATTTGGCAAATCTGATGCTCAGGGCTGGATTTGCCATTATGACATAGGCTATAGCCTAAGAGCGCAACATTCTGAGGGAAGTAACACTTTTGAGAACTTTAAAACGTAAAAATGTACGCGTTAAAAACTCTTCTGGTGGAAGAAGGGGTATGTTCCATGCCCCCTTTCCTCCCAATTACACCTACGTTATAGGAACTCAACAAAGTTCAGTCTAGGGGTGCTAAAAATGTACACTGAAAAAAAAAGTTTGGTCGTATGTGCCAAAGTTCGGTGTTCCATATCATCCCAACGAATTCGGTTTGTCAACTGAATTCTCAGTTTATGAAACTGAACGCACGGTTCGTGTAACCGAACTTGTGCGGTGAGGTGAACTGACGAACTAAGTTTGGTCATACATGGCAAAAATTTGGTTACACGAACCGAAAGTTCGATTTGACAAACCGAATATTCGGATGATGTGGAACACCGAACGTTCGGTTACACAAACCGTAAGTTCAGTTTGATAAACTGAGAATTTAGTTTGACAAACCGAATTCGTTTGGATGATATGGAACACCGAACTTTGGCAGAGTTCTTTTTTTTTCAGTGCAAATCTGCCCCTGTTGATGTTCAACAAGTTGCTCATCAATCATCATTTGGCGGAAAGCAGCGATGACCTCCGAACTCAACTTTTGCCTCACTCGATTACATTTCTTAGATTGTTGGTCCGTCTTTGGATCTGACTTTCAAGACGAAACGCCACGAACACGGGCCCGCGAGCGACTTGGCATCGACGCTGGTTTGAGGCAATAAGGCAATTAGGCAATTAGGGGGCGATCAGGAGGAATGAGCCTACATGAGTTCATCCTTCGACGCTCATCAAGTGGTCAACCGGGCCGGACGATTCGTTTCTATTCGAAAATTCGGCGTCGCACAGTGGATCTGGTCGATGGGAGAGGTCGGACAAAATTCGGAAACTTTAAACGCTTATAACTCCGTCTTCACAGAACGGTGAGGTTCTGAAAGTGGTTCCATTGGTTTCCTCGTGAAATTTTCTTCACGAAGCACCCCTTGAATTTTAAAATATGACGAAATTAACATAAAAATTTGCAGTTATAGTCAACAATTTCATGTCCGATCTCTCTAATTGACTAAATCCACTGTGCGTCGACTGAATTGTGCGCCGGGTTCTGAGCCTCAACGGCCATCCATCAGACTGGCCACGACGCAACACGACGTGTCAACGCTTCACAACAATTGTCACTCACAAAATCTAGATAAATTACCTCGAGGTCAAGTCGGTGACTTTCCTATACCTTAAAAATTATACGCTCTCCCCTCTCGTACAGGTCTTTGTTCATAAAATACGTGACGCTCAAGGATGGGGGGGGGGGGGGGGGGGTTGAGCC